CCTATTTTTACAAAAACGGCTTCTACGGCAGGGGTTTTCAAACTTTTTGTGTGTGTGGACCACTATTTGTAATCAAGATTTTTCACGGACCACCTCATAATACACATATTACATGTTATATTATTTATTACATATTATAATGAGGTTCATTTGAACAACAGGCTTATTTCCATAGCAATGGAGTATGAAATCCATACAGCAATAAGAACACTTGGATATAGTCAGCATTTCAAAACCTTTAGCGATTTTAGGGGATTATTAATATTAATCTTAAGAGTTCTACAAGTCCTCAAAAAGTAGACTTGAACATATTTGCCTCTGGCCTATAACGTTACACATTTAATGAAAACACAGTAGGGCTAACGTTATTCCAGGTTGAAAATAAAGTTGTCAAAAGGAAAAGCTATTGGAGTCTATCTGCCAGCCCGATATGAACGTAATATCCTCCTTTGTCACCCTCTACATCTTTCCCTTCCTCTTTGTTTCGTCTGTCTAATAGAGACCTATATTAAAAACAAACAACTAAATAAATGCTCTCCTAACCTGTTGCTATTCACCGATCCGGTGTTGTGGTTCTGACGACACGGACCTTGAGCGTCACTATTTTAGTAAATCACACAATAGCATGACAATTTAATTTACATTTTATATAAATATAGGCCTACATATTCTTTTTACTTTTTAATAGGAATTTATTGGTAAAATATTTCATATTTTATTTTGCCTTTTCACAAACCACCTGCAGTACCCTCACGGACCACTAGTGGACCATAACGTATACAAAGTAACAGAGCCTTTTATACATTGTCGTGTTTCTTTAGAAATAAACAATGGACTAATGGAGTCTTCAAACGCCTCAGATGAAAAGTTATTCGCTGTCAAAGTGACGCCAAAATGAATGTGAGTCAATGGGATGCTAACAGCAGGAGAAGGCTTACTAGCCGATGGCGGAGTAGAGATGATGATGTACCTTCAGGAGGAGAGCGCTCTTGATGGACTGAACATCGGCTCGATTCAGAGGACGACAGAAACTCCTCATCTTCTCTGTCCGGGTCGAACCGCTGCGCTGAAGGGCAGTAACTCCTCGCTGTAGAAACACACACACACACACGTGTTCAATGGGCTTGTGTATTTTCTCTATATAAAGCGACTAACGCTTTCTAACCTTCCCGTGTGACTCTGAGCGCGCTGGAGAGCGGCTTCTTCACGGAGGAGCTCTGGGCCTCGACACGCTTCACCAGCTGAAGGACAACAGGACAACAGTCGTCAGTGGTAGTTAACAGATATGAATGTGCTTCAGTGAATAATAGATGATAAATATAGAAGATTTTTTTTTCCACATATATTATAGTTTAGTTGTAGCAAATGAGACATGCACAAAATTGCTTAGATTAAATACATAAACTATAATAATAATAATAATTAAAGCTGCAAGCAGCATTTATCGGTGTTCAAGCAGTTCAGATCTTTAAGGCATTTAAGCACAAAAGCATCAAACGACATTAAGTTTTATGTAGCAAACATGATTTATCATATTATACTACATTTCAGTGTGATATTACATAATTAACCATGTTCCAATATGATTTATCATAATTTACCATGTTAAAATATGATTTACTACAGTTTAGTTCACACACTCATTTTCAACTTCAGGATCATAGTCATTTTTTACTGAATGTGGTTGTAAATGTTAAAAGATTGAATTGATAAAGTTATACTATGAATTATAGTTGAGTATTGTGAAAAAAAAAATAATTTAAACAGCAGCGGGCAGTACAACACCACTCATTGGCCACCTATAATCCGATCCTCACGAAACTTTGGTTGCTGTAGCGCCACCTATGGGCCAATCGGGCTCATACTCGGATAGCTTCTCCACACGGTTTGAGCTGCACGATGCGTTTTAGGGGATTTTTTTTTCTTTCTAGCAAATACAATAGGTTTTCAGCACTCTGTGCTTGAACACCTAATAATGAGAGACCTTTTTGATGATTATAGAGCCACCTATGATCCGATCCTCACGAAGCTTTGCATGCTTCCTAACCATGTTAGGACACATATGCTCATCGATTTTTGTGACGTTGTGACTTTTTGGGGGGGATTTACGGGCTTTTGACTTAATTTTGCCACAGACCACTATCTAAATAAGCCTGTTACAGCCAACCAAATGCAAAATTTCAACTTTTTTTTCGATAATTATTGATCTAGAGAGTCCAGAGAATAGGCCTAGACTGGTTTGGTCCCGATTGGGCAAAAAACCAGGGACTAGTTTGCAAAAGTGGGTCTTGGACAAAAACCGAAATAACATTTTTTTGTTGTTGCTCCAAATAGAAATTCGAGATATACATCTTGTCCGTCTTGAGCCAGCGATTACAGTGGTGTAAAAACATTAAAGCTAAGTCAAACGGTCTAGGAGTTATGAGCAATTTAGTACTTTTGGTTGCTGTAGCGCCACCTATGGGCCAATCGGGGTCATACTCGGATAGCTTCTCCACACGGTTTGAGCTGCACGATGCATTTTAGGGGATTTTTTTTTTCTTTCTAGCAAATACAATAGGTTTTCAGCACTTTGTGCTTGAACGTCTAATGATATACTATAAAAAAGATGGATCAGTCTGTTGTTTTGTTGGTTGTGTTCCCCAGCACATGTGGTTGGTGTCTCACCAGTCTGGTGTTGGCGAACTCTCTGTCCATGTGATCTGCGATGCTCTGCAGTCTGAGCAGCTGCGAGTCCATCTCTGAGAGCCGAGCTGAGATCTGACTCCTGGACATCAGCGCTCGCTCCAGACCAGGCCTGTTCACGGCCTTCAGCACGCTCAGAGTCACGGGGTCTCCGCCCAGCACAGCTTCAGGAGACACACACACACCTGCAGGGAATAGTTTGGATCAGTGTTGATTTCGTTGACATATACATTTTTATAACTAAAGATAGCTTTCCTGTAGCTCAAACAGTAGAGCGTTGGATTCGCTCAAGAATTGAGATCATGGGTTCGATTCCCAGGGAAAGCAAGAGCTGATAAGAATGTAAATGTGTAACTTGAAATGTGATGTAAGTCGCTTTGGATTTTTCATAAATTAAGTAATATTGTGAAATATTATTACATTTTAAAACAAATGTTTTCTGTTCTAATATCTTGTTGTGATGCAAAGCTGAATTTTCATAACATTTTATGATTTGAATGATTTCAGAAGGATCATGTGACACTGAAGACTGGAGTAATGATGATAAATTCAACTTTGATCTCAGGAATAAATTGCACTTTACTAGATATTCATATAGAAAACAGCTGATTTACATTACAATAATATTTCACTATTTTTACAGCATTTTGTAACAAATAAATGCATCCTCATGGTGAGTAAAAGAGACTTCTATAAAAACTTCTGACTGCCAATGTATTTAGTTATTGCTAATTTAATTTCATAAGTTTTATTTGCTATATCGAAACTGTCTTAAACATATATTTATATGTAATTTGTGTTAACTGATAAAGCATATACTGTACCTTGAAGGCATTGTATTGTATTTTATGAAAAACATTCACCTCTACTAAATAGTAAACAAAACCGAATTTGTCTGGTTTATGCCCTAACCAAACTTGGTTGATGAAAAGCTTCTAATTAAATCATTTAAAATGTAAAATTAGCATAAAAAACAACAACAATAGTAATAAAACCTATTTGTTTACCTGCATGGCATGTGACCATTAACTGGCATCAGAGAATTAATTATTATTGAAAAATTAACTTGTATTTCAGGTCAAAGTAAAGTTTTACTTCTCCCCAGTCCATTTCAATTATCATTATTGTGTATCATTTCTGTTGTTACAGTATTTGCTTGAAATAAAAAAAAAAAATAAATAAATAAATAATAAAGGGGTTTGGAGGACAAAAATGTTTGGGAATCCCTTCCCTAAAAGACAGCGTACCTGGAATCTCTCCAATCGGATTCTCAGTAAAGTGCTCAGTGTTGTTGGGGGCGGAGTTTAAGGCAGGTTTAGGGGTGTGGTTTGCCACTGAAGAGGCGGGGTTTACGACAAAAGCTGCTTGTAGGTGGAGCTCAGCAGACGACGGGGGAAACGAAGGCAGACTCTGAAGAAGAGAGTCGTCTGTCAGATCGATCACATTAATAAACCTTCGACCCTCAGGATTCTACAATACAAGAACAACACAGAGAGAATTACTCATAAAAAACACTCAAACTGTCAAATATTATTTGATGAGATGATGGTCTGATGTCTTTGAGAGCAGCATTCCCCTACGAGATCTGCGTTCGACTCTGCAAGGCTTCTGGTCTCCGGCTGCTCTGAGGAGTTATCTTTAGAGAAGCGAAGATTCAAGAACACATCTGGAGGAACGACTGGAGCCACATCTAGCAGCCCGCCTTCAGCTGCGACAGCAGTACACAAATAATGACATATCAGCATCATCATCAACTTTATTTCCAGACCATTCAGAAGGCACAGACGTAACATGCAACATACATAAAACGGATGCATACTGTATACAAAAGTTAACAAAGGTATAAAATAATAATAATAATAATAATAAAAAACTACAATACGGCATTTATATATATATAAAATAATAATATTGATGAGATGTGTGTAATGATGGTGTGTGTGAACATTTCCTATCATATTTTTTTTCTGGCTATAAAATAGTATTTTTTGCATAATTTCCCAGAAAAACACCCAATATAATAATATATAATAATGATAATTATCTGGTAAATTATGCTAAATACTATATTTTCCCCATTGTTTATACAAAACTAAATATGCATTTAAAATATATATTGATATTAATAAATGGTAAATTGGTAAATGGTAAAAAAAAATGTATTTACCATTTAATAAATACAAAATCTTAATAAATACTATAATGGTATATATATATATATATATACAGTAGGCCTGTTGCAATTAAGGATTGATTGCCTGATCATTGAGATAATTGTGCAGTTTCAAATTTATTTAAATCACAATCATTTTTGGGATTATTTTCACAATGTTCTGCCACTGATACTTTTACTTCCAATGATGTTCATGAATATAATTCCAATGATGTTCTGGATATAATTGTTTTTGCTATTTTTTCCATGCATAATTTCCCAGACAAAAAGTACATACACTGTATAATAGTAATGATTTTTTTTTTCTCTAAGAAACTAATAAATACAAATATTTTCCAAGTTTTTTTGTCACTGATTTTTTTTTTCCTTCAGTAGGCCAACTTTATTGTTTTTTTCCCTCTAGATTTGCTTATGGTGCTCAAGTAAAAAAAAAAAAAAAAATCCCATGGATCAAAAATGTAAACCAAGCATCATTTTGCAATTTATAATTTCATAAAAAAAGGCAAATTTGATTTGAATCTGCTGCGTCTCAAATGCTCATTTTGGACCCTGTGTGGATTCAACAAAGAGCTGAGGATCACATTCCTGTCATGAACTTACGAGCAGACGGCATGCTGGGAGGAGACTGAGGCTGGTCAGAAACATCTTGATCTGTGATGGAGCGAAGCAGTTCTGGAGGAAACCAAAGCAGAACTTACATTAGCGAAGTTAAAGGGGTCATCGGATGCAAAATTCACTTTTATATTGTGTTTGCATATAAATGTGTCTTTGCAGTGTGTGGACACAACCACCATAAAATGAAAGAAAAAAAAAAATCCATTCACTCCTTTTTTTAAATCCTCAAAAAGCCAAAACACTCTCAATAAACAGGCCGTTTGGATTTTCTGAGCAGTATGATGTCATAATGCCTAAGCTCCGCCCACGACCACTGATGGACTGTCAGGGGGTAAAAGGGTTTTTAACCAAAGTATGTTACAAACTTTACATGAAGACCCTAAACCATCAAATCAGCTTGTGGAAAATGGGCGTCCGATGCCCCCTTTAAAGTGTGCGATATGCGGATGAGCGATCAGAGCGCATACCGGTGTCGGTGTTTGTACAGGCGTCCTGGATCTCAGGCGGTCTCTTCTGTGTGGAGGCGAACGCATGAAGCTCAGCCGAGGTGACGTACGCCTGATCCAACAACGCCAGGCCACTCGACTCACACTCAACGCCTGCAGCGCAAACACACATTTACTGACCGATGAACTTTACAGCAGAACTGACTTCATCTCAACAATGGAGGACTTAATATTTAATATAGATATTATGTCATAAAAACGAAAATAAAAAATGTTGTCTTGATAAAGTTGAAACTGAAGGACTTAAATTACTAAAACTGTAATAAAAATTAATTAAAACTAAATTAAAAATATGTTTTACAAATGACAAAAACACATAAAATTACCAAAAGTAAAACTGTAATAAAATTAATTAAAACTAAATAAAAAAATATTTTTAAAAATGATAAAAACACTAAACACTAAAATTACTAAAACTGTAATAAAATGACTTAATTAAAAAAAAAAGAAAACACAAAAAACAATTACTAAAACTGTATTAAAATTTATTAAACTAAATAAAAATATTTTAAATAAAAAAGACAAAATGCACAGCACAATTACTAAAATTAAAAATTTTATAAAAAAATTAAAACTAAAAACAAATTTAAAAAAAAAATTACAAAAAGGACAGAAACACAAAATTATTGTTTTATATTCTTCACAAAATTATAGTTAAACTGAAAGTAAAACTGCAAATATAAATATTAGATAAACAAATGAAAACTTAAATGTTGTCCTGGCAATTGACTGAAATAAAATAATTTTTAATTAAAGTAATACAATTACAAAAAAAAAAAAAAAACGAATAAAAATGACAAAGACACATAATTACCAAAAGAAAAAAATCTAAAATAAATAAAAAAACATTTATACTAATAAATACAAAATATGAATAAATACTATAATGGTATATAAATAATACTAAAGAAATCACCTAAAGGAATGGTGTGTTGGTCGCTGTGATCGGGCACTTCTTCTGCAGGCTGCACACATGAGCAAACAGAGAAACAGTCCAGGTCACATCTTTATTAAAGCAAGAGTTTAGAAAAAATACATAAATACAGTTTTGAGACGCACGTACCTCATCTGGAGGAATGATGGAGTCCTCCGGTCTGAACGTGACTCCAATCCGGTCCTCCTTGTTTTTCTCCTCTCTCCTCTTCCGCCTAAATGAGACATAATATTAGACAGAAAACACAAATCTGCAACAACAACAACAAAAAAAATCATCATTTGTCACATGATTTGACTAGGGCTGGGCACAAAAAAAATTGCCATTAATAGTTTTTTTATTTTATTTATGTGGTCGATTCAAAATCCATTCTCAAAGGCCATGAATTGATTTTTTTCGAATCAGATTGAGAGCTTGCGAATCGACTTGTGAGCTTGCGAATCAAATTGAAAGCTTTCGAATGGAATAGAGAGCTTTGAATCGAATTGGGAGCTTGAAAATCAAATTGAGAGCTTGCGAATCGAATTGAGAGCTTTGAATCGAGAGCTTGCGAAAAGAAACAGCTTGCGAATCGAGAGCTTGCGAATCAAATCGAGAGCTTGCGAATCGAGAGCTTGCGAAGAGAAACAGCTTGCGAATCGAGAGCTTGCGAATCAAATCGAGAACTTGCGAATCGAGAGCTTGCGAATCAAATCGAGAACTTGCGAATCGAGAGCTTCGAATCAAATCGAGAACTTGCGAATCGAGAGCTTCGAATCAAATCGAGAACTTGCGAATCGAGAGCTTGCGAATCGAATAGAGAGTCTGTGAATCAAATCGAGAGCTTGCGAATCGAGAGCTTGCGAATCGAATAGAGAGTCTGTGAATCAAATCGAGAACTTGCGAATCGAGAGCTTGCGAATCGAATAGAGAGTCTGTGAATCAAATCGAGAGCTTGCGAATCGAGAGCTTGTGAATCAAATCGAGAACTTGCGAATCGAGAGCTTGCGAATCAAATCGAGAACTTGCGTTTTGAGAGCTTTGAATCAAATCGAGAACTTGCGAATCGAGAGCTTGCGAATCGAATAGAGAGTCTGTGAATCAAATCGAGAGCTTGCGAATCGAGAGCTTGCGAATCAAATCGAGAACTTGCGAATCGAGAGCTTGCGAATCAAATCGAGAACTTGCGAATCGAGAGCTTGCGAATCAAATCGAGAACTTGCGAATCGAGAGCTTGCGAATCGAATAGAGAGTCTGTGAATCAAATTGAGAGCTTGTGAATCAAATAGGAACATCTGAATGGAAGCGCAGCCCAAGGTTTGGGCACACAGCATGACCTCTTGTTGGACGGGCTGGTCGTCGTGAGCTTGTTCTCCGGGACGGGGTGTGTGTTTAAGAGTTGTAGTTGGGTGTGTTTGCCGTTGGTCCACTTCAACAGCTCCTCCAGTGGGATGAGACGAGGAGTCCGTAAAGGAGCCGAGACCAACCGCACATCCTACAAGACAAACACACCGATTATCTTCACCTGCTGCCACATGAGTAACGTGACGAGTAAAGTGACGAGTAAAGTGACGAGTAAAGTGACGAGTAAAGGGACGAGTAAAGTGATGAGTAAGGATGAGTAAAGGAATGAGTAAAGTGACGAGTAAAGTGATGAGTAAAGGAATGAGTAAAGTCACGAGTAAAGTGATGAGTAAAGGAATGAGTAAAGTGACGAGTAAAGGAATGAGTAACGTGATGAGTATAGGGACGAGTAAAGTGACGAGTAAAGTGATGAGTAAAGGGATGAGTAAAGGGATGAGTAAAGCGATGAGTAAAGGGATGAGTAAAGGGATGAGTAAAGGGATGAGTAAAGCGATGAGTAAAGGGATGAGTAAAGGGATGAGTAAAGGGATGAGTAAAGGGATGAGTAAAGCGATGAGTAAAGGGATGAGTAAAGGGATGAGTAAAGGGATGAGTAAAGGGATGAGTAAAGTGACGAGTAACGTGACGAGTAAAGCGACGAGTAAAGCGACGAGTAAAGGGATGAGTAAAGTGATGAGTAAAGTGATGAGTATAGGGTTGAGTAAAGGGACAAGTAAAGTGATGAGTAAAGTGACGAGTAAAGGGATGAGTAAAGTGACGAGTAAAGGAATGAGTAAAGTGATGAGTAAAGTGATGAGTATAGGGTTGAGTAAAGGGACAAGTAAAGTGACGAGTAAAGGAATGAGTAAAGTGATGAGTAAAGTGATGAGTATAGGGTTGAGTAAAGGGACAAGTAAAGTGACGAGTAAAGGGATGAGTAAAGTGACGAGTAAAGTGACGAGTAAATGTGGTTATTGCTCACGGTGAAAAGTAAAGTAGAAAGACAAACTAAATGTAAACTCACAGCGGCGGGTGGATCCGGATCTCTGTGCAGAAGCTGAATTCTGGGATAGCGGCCCGTGGCTGTGACGCCCAGACTGGGTTTTGGCAAGGTGCATTGTGGGATACGTGGCAATGTCACAGTTCTCTGGGTCTCTGGGTGAAACCGCAGAAGAGGAAGAGCAACAGATCTGTGAGGACGGAGAGATTCCTGTGTGTGTGTGTTATAGCGGTGTGATTCGGCTCGGGTCCGGTTACGATCCTCAGCCCTCGGGACAGATGAGGGATCGGGACCCCAGGAATCCTTCACAGGAGGAAGAGGAGGAGATCTCTGAGATGGGTTTAGCTGGAGGAGTCTGAGGCCGTGTGGTTTTGGAGGTTCAGAAACAGCATTAAATGCCGAGTGAGGATTGGCTGTGGTGAGAAGCCCGTGTGACGTCGGGATGAAGCTCCGGCCGGGAGATTGACCGTTCTCTGGCCAGTCTGAGCGAATGGTCAACTGATGAATTTCCTGTGAGAGATTCAAGAACATGAGAAAAAAAAATGATTTTGAACCATTTTTTCCAGCTAAAGAACGATAAAAGCACTGACACCCAATCAGAATCCATTCTGCTTTAAAGAGCTCCAGCACCAGACAAACCTGCAGTCCATGTGGAGAATGAACAGTGTAATCGGCAGTGTTGGGTAAGTTACCCTAAAAAAGTAATTAATTACTAGTTACTAATTACCTCTTCAACAGTGTAATTAGATTACTGTACTAATTACTATCTCTAAAAAGTATTTAATTACTTTTAATTACTAATTACTTTCAAAATCCCATATCAATCTCAACCAGCTGAATAATAGAAGGATAGACATGAATCTGTTTTAATTCTTTCAAACAAATACTATAAAATTGCATGAATTGTCCTTAAACTGACCAAGGTGGAGAAGGTTACATTATAAAAACATACTTTTTAGCATCAGACAATACATTTTGATGTTAAACCCACTATTGTTTCCTGTCTGATCTCATGACATTTCACACTTTTTTCATATATATTTTACAATAATTCATACAAATTTGTACGAGTGTGGTCGTACGATTTAGACACCTTATAAAATGCATACGAATCGCTGTGATCTATACACAGTATTTACCTCAATTACATCAGAAGTAACTGTAATTAAATTACAGATAAATGAAGAGTAATCCCTTACTTTACATTTTCAAGGGAAAAGTAATTAAATTACAGTAACTAATTACTTAGTAATTAGTTACACCCAACACTGGTAATCATTCATCCAATATGGTTACTATTATAGTTATCTTTATAGTTATTGTTCTTGGTGTGAATGGGCTTTAAGAGTACCACGCTAGCTGAGGCTCCAATCAAATCCATTTTATTTTTTCCCAAATTCTGTATTATTTATTTATTTATTTATGACTCCATTTTAATGTTTATATGATATTTTAGTAAACAAAAAGCATGTCTAATTACTGAACTCATGAAACATACAATTTAACAAAAATTACGATAATGCATGTTTTCAAATATTTTTGTGAAATTTTTTATATATATTTTTATAGTATTAAAAAAAAATGTTAAAAATGTGAGGTTAGTAAGATTTTTTTAATCTTCTGCTCACCAAGGCTGCATTTATTTGATCAAAAATACAGTAAAAACAGTGAAATATAATTCCAATGTAAAACCGCTGTTTTCTTTGTGAATATCTAGTAAAGTGTAATTTATTCCTGAATGTTCAGCACAGTCTTCAGTGATCCTTCAGAAATCACTCTAATATGATGATGTGACGTTCAAGAAACATTTATGATTATTATCAGTGTTGAAAACAGTCGCGCTGCTTCATATTTCTGTGGAAACTGATCCATTTTATTTTTCAGGATTCTTTGGTGGTCCAAAATAACAACATTTATTAGAAATAGAATATTTTGACACAGTCTTTCTCTGTCACTTTTGATCAGTTTAATGCATCCTTGCTGAATAAAAATATAATTTTTCTAAAAGCATAAATATCCTACTGAACCCAGTCCACATGACCGTTGACTGATAGTGTAAATGATACATGTAATTACCAATATTACCTGAGTTTTGAGGGTAACATTTGGATTCAGAGCCGAGCCAGAATTCACATTCACAGGATGTTGGTCATGATTAACCCTCTCAGGCCTGGTAGCTCGTGTTGGGAGGTTGGTATCATCACATGTAGTGTGCTGGGCATTATGGGTAAGAGCGATGTGCTGAGGCGGATGCTGTGCAGGTATGGCAGTGGTCTGTGGCACATTCACATTAGACTGGTGCATGCTGGGTTGAGAGAGCGGCAGGTTTCCGAAGGACGCGCCGACGACCTGCATGAGGCTCATGAAGTTGATCTGCTGCAGCTGAAACACAAGGGAACTGTTAGACTTTGTAACTTTGTTATTTAGTATTCATCTCTGCTTGCAATTTGTGTGTTTGTTCTTATTTTATTACTAAATGTTCACTTGTTTTTAATAATGTTTGAACTTTATATGTTAGGCTAGTAGTTTTTGATGTGGTAACGAAAACGTCAAGAGAGCTTTAAGTAATGCTGTAGTACTTGAGTCCGATCTCGAGACGTTTTTCTAGTGCAGTGCACTATGGGTATTCTCAAGCCATTGAGCATATATCAGTTATTGCAGTGCGTTGTGTGATTGAATGCGTTCACTATGGTTTTGAACACCGGTACAAATGACTGTCCCTTTAAATAGCGCCCTATTTAAGGGTATGTGGGGCGATTTCAGACGCAGCCGTGGTGTCCAAGCCGAGGTTTTCCAGCATTTGATTGACAGGGCAAGTCTTGAAGCTGAAACGCACCTGCACTAGCCTGAATAACTCGTCGTGGATCAGCTGTCTGACGGGGTCTGGTGGTGTTTGGGCTTCGCTGTGAGGAGGATGACCTCTGATATGTGTGTCCGTCGGTCCGTTTACATGCTGAACACTGACGGAGGCAGAAACCTCAGGTCTGGAAGAACAACACAGGTGAGATAACAGAAAATCTCTCAAATCCTCCTTCATGACAGTGAGATTAGGTTATCTTTACCTGTGTGTTCCACAGGAGACGTGATTTCCCTCTACGTGAGATCTGAAACGCAAACATTAGCTGATATTAAACACACGAAGGTATGAGTGTTTGAGCTTTGTTTGTCGTCAGCATAGCAACCGAAACAATAGTGATTGCCTGTGATTAATAACTGAAATCATCAGGCATGTGTCAAAGGTTAAAGTTGATATGTGCAGACTCACTGTGAATGTAGTGAATGTTGGGGTGTGTCGGGACACTCAAGATCAGCCAGTGTGATGGTCTGTGGGAACATCAGGAGAACTAGTTTTACACACAGATCTGGACCTACTGAACTAACTGCACATTTTCATGCTTATAATCAACGATCAACTTAAATAAATGAATAAGTAAATATTATTAATAATTTACTAAATTGTAGATAATTATTAAACATGTATATTAAGTGTAAATTAATAATAATCAATAAATAACTTTTTTTAATTAATAAATATTATTGATATTGAAATTGATATATATTTTAATGATAAATTATTATAAAATGATAGATAAATAAATTGATTTATTGATTAATAAATGTTATTGATATTGATAGATAATATATTTTAATTATACATTACTGATACATAAATGGATGTATTGATTAATAAAAGATAATGATTATTTTATTTGATTATTTATATCTAATAAAATATAATTGATATTTATCAAAAATACATATAAATTATACTGATAAATAAATCTGAATGAATGAATAAATATTATTGATATTGATAGATAATTTATAATAATAACAAATTATTATCTACGATACATAAATGGATGTATTATTCAATAAAAGATAATGATTATTTTATTTGATTATTTGCATCTAATAAAATATAATTGATATTGATTAATAAATATATATATAAAAATTATACTGATTAATAAATCAGTATTTATGCTAGATATTTATTAATTATAAATTTTTATTAATTGATAACAAAATAATCAATCAAAGAATACATATTTATATTGACAGATGAAAAAAATATATAAATTATACTGATAAATAAATATTAGTAAATTTATAACTATTATTGACAGACAAAAATGTTGCCCAGTGTTACAGCACACAATCACCTGATCTCTGTGAGCTCTGCTCTGATTGGCCCATGATGCCTCGGTGACATCATCAGCACTGCTATCAACTGTAAACCAAACAACAGTGAACAACAATTGATAATACAGTTATAATGATTCAGTAACAACATTAATAGTGATCAGTATAAAATGAATAATTTCAAAATAATACTTTGACCAAATTATTTTATTCGCCAGTGTTACTCAAGTTCCTCACATGTTACCCAGTGTTTCTTGCGTAACCCAGTGTTACTTAGTGTTCCTCACATTATCAAGTGTTACTGATCCGTTACCCAGTATTAATCTCATGTTACCCAGTGTTGCCCAGTGCTACTCATATAATACTCAGTGTTACTCATGTTACTCGGGGTTACCCAGTGTTACTCAGTGCAGGTTAGGGTTAGTGTGGACCCGAATCAAAGCGTCTCTAATATTAACACGGGTCCCAAAGCTCTTGCCCAAACATAACCTTTTATTTTCCAGTGATTTCTCCTGAGCCTTTCTTTCTCTTTTGTATCGTCTCATCGCTATTTCAGCAGTCTTTCTTCAAATCTCCCTCTATATTTCAAATACCACTTACCCCACCTTTAAATTAGACAATATTAAATTAAATGTTTTCTAAAACAGAAACCTACATAAAGTCATGTAAATGTTTGTGATGTGTAGTACAGAGATCTGACCGTCTCCAGCCTCAGTGGTTTGTCTGATCTCAGTGACGTTATTCTGTAGATCAGAGGTCATCGTGTCTTCATGTTCAGACAGCTGATCGTCTGTTTGATCCACCACATCCTCTGGCTCACACACACTGGGATCAAACATCACACAACATCGGTAAAAGCAAGCTTTTTTTATTTGTTAATTCTTTAACTCGTTGTTCATAATTACTTCTGACCTGCAACATCTTTAAAAGCTTTGACTTGATTGTCTGGACACATTTAACAGAATCAAGACGAATAAGCTCAAATATTTATGAGACAATTTGTCACTTTTTTTCACTACATCATTCAAAGAAATAACAAAACAAAAAAAAAAAACTGACGGATGGCAATATAAAAAAAGATGATAATATAATTTAATATAATGATAATATAATAATGGTATCTATAATAATATAAATCTAATTGATATAAAATTATATTTAAGTCTTATTAATAATTATATATAAATATAAATGTATATATCAATTTTACATATACAGCATATATGTATAGTATATCCTGTATATATTTTTATTTTACAATTGATAAATAAATAAATATAAATTAAATAAATATTGCTATAAATTAATTAATGAGTCCTTTGTATCAGTAAAACATTGGCATGGTTTATTATCAGTCATGTTTTGATCAGATGTGTGCAGTGGACTCACTCATGGCTGTGTGTGTGGAGAGTGATGGGCGTGTCCACACTGCTGTCTCGGTCCCTCCCCCAGCCTGTGATTGGCTGCAGCACTGGCGCCTCAGGCCCCGCCCTCTGATGGAACAGCTTTCACAAGAAAGTTCAATTCATTTCACATTTATTTGTATATCGCTTTTCACAATACACATTTCATTTCATCATTACAATTTAGAGTGATCTGTTGTCAGAGGGAACTGTCTAAGTTTTAGCTAACTGACATATAAAAAATCACAGTTAGCTAAAAATGTATTAATAAACAAATGTAATAATTTAATAGTTCAGCGTCTCTTTCACATTTCTGATCAAGTTCCGGTGGTGTCATGTTCTGGATGATCAGGGTGTTTTTGTCAACTGAAGCCCTATAAACTAAAATACGGACTATATACAGAATGTAACCCTTGAAGCCCTGGTATAATCATCCATGTCATGTGATCTGATCATGTGACTAGATTTGATTAGGAAAAGGACTGATTTCACAACTGAACACTTCACTTGCTATGTCAGTGTGTCAATGCATGATCAGGGCTGTTATCATTTACTAAAACTATTAAAACTATGAAATAATTAATTAGAAATATTAAATAAAGTAAAAAAAAAAAAGTTGCCTTGTATGGCTACTACCTGAAATAAGTGTAAGTTGAAGCACTACAATCAAAAAACTGAATTAAAATTAAAACAAACACTGAAATAAAAATAAATTAAAACAATAAGTCAAATTTTAAAAATAATAATATTAATGACAAAAGGATATAACAAAATTATTCAAAATCAAACAAAGTAAAATGAAGCTAATTCAAAATATATAAAAGTATACGAATAAAAAAGTCAAATGTCAATTAATGTCAATAAACAAAAATAGAAAACAAATTGTATATAAGATCAGAGTAAAGTTAACTACTCTCTCATTGTTTAAATGTTACAGATTTTAATTATGTGTAAAATAATGTATTATATAACATAAATATATAATATTTTGTGTGTGTGTATGTATATATATATTTATTTATTTTTATATAAATTGTTTAATTTTGTATATTGTCATTTCTACCAATATCTCATGAATTATGTAGTTCCATCCTCGAAGATCCATTCGAGATTTTTGTTTATAAAATCAAAAAGATATTGAAACAACTCCCATTGCATGCTTAATGTAACTTCTAGGCAGAACTGATAAAAAAAAAATAATAATAATAATAATTTTTTGTTTGATTGACTTTAGATGACACCATCTGTTATGAAGAATATGGAATAAACGGTTGGATCTAAAGCACTACTCCTTACCTCATTATGGGAGTGATGTGTGTTTTCTCCCAGAAGGGCGGCGCTGTATCTCTCCCCGAGCAGCTCCAGTGCACACAGAAGCGCAGGGGTCGAGCCTTTGACCCTGATGACCACCGCATCACTTCCCTCTGACCTCTTTCCCATTGGCTGAGAGAGCAGAACCCGCCTGTCGGCCCAGCGCATCATCCACTCGAGTAACCGAGCCAGTCGAGGAAAGCGGATCTCCATCGAGGAGTCCAACTGCATCTGAAGGGCCAATTCATCCGGAGAGAGGATCCTGAATCCTGACCCGGCCCGATTCACTCTGGATACCGACGTATGGTGTCGACGGCGGCTGAAAAGACCATGATGCTCCCTGGATTGGATTCCAGGAAGAGTCCATGGAGACGTGGCATTCGTGGTCTCGTGAGTGTCCTGAACCGGTGAAGGTTCGGGAGTGACCGGGAGACTCTGGAAACAGTGACCGGCACGAAACAGGGGCAAACGTGCGCCTCGCGTACGTCCATCCTTCTGACGGCGTTTGAGAGACGTCAACATGTCAAAGGTCACCGAGTGCAGCTCTCTAGCATGAAAACGTTGTGAGAAACTACTCAGTAAAGGAAGCTCGGACTCCTCGGCGTCTAATCTGTCCTTTCCCAGAACATAACTGAGGAACAAATCGAGGAAGAGCATGTACTCGTCATCCTCCAACTCAAACTCCCAGGTTCCCACTGTCGGCACTGAAGAACCCACACGGCTCGACTCTTTGGGTTGTTTTGATTTCTCAGGTGCATCATGAAACTGTGCCGTCTTAGAGCTAAAAAACACACCGAAAGAGGGACACTTTCAGCACTTTCATTGCTAAATGTAAATCTATTGCATCTTCACAGAAAATAAAAACTATTTTGGCCAATTCCACATGACTATAAAGTAATAAATTATGGTTTTATTGTGAATAGTATTAGAAAACAAGAAATATATTGAAATTATACTACAGTATTGTAATATAAAAATGTAGTTTTTAATAAAAAATAATTTTATGTTATAGGACAACTGTAAAATTACTACATATTAGTGCGGTCACATTGATTAATTAATTAATTTAATAAATGTTTTTTTACTTAATATATGCGTTTATATATATATATATATATATATATATATACACACACACACACATATACACTACCGGCCAAAAGTTTTAGATCGGTAAGATTTTTAATGTTTTTAAAAGAAGTCTATTCTTCTCCCAAAGGCTGCATTTATATGATTAAAAAATACCAAAAAAACATTAATATTGCAAAATATTATTACAATTTAAAACGTCTGTTTTCTTTGTGAATATATAGTAATGTGTAATTTATTCCTGTGATCAAAGCTGAATTTACTCCAGTCTTCAGAGTCACATGATCCTTCAGAAATCACTCTAATATGATGATTTGCTGCTCAAGAAACATTTATGATTATTATCAATGTTGAAAACTGTTTTTTACATTTTTATTTCAGGATTCTTTGATGAAAAGAACAGCTTTTATCTGAAATGCAAAGGTTTTGTAACATTAAACACTACCCTTTAAAAAGTTTGGGGTCAGTAAGAATTTTTATTTAAATTTTTTTTGGGGGAAAAAAGAAATCAATAGTTCTATTCATCAAGGATTGATCAAAAGTGACAGTAAAGACGTTTATAATGTTAGAAAAGATTCTATTTTAAATAAATGCTGTTCTTTTGAACTTTCTATTCATCATAGAATATTTGAAAAAAAAATGCACAACTGTTTTCAACATTGAAAGTAATAATGTTTTTTGATCATCAGATCCTCATATTAGAGTGATTTCTGAAGGATCATGTGACACTGAAGACTGGAGTAATGATGCTGAAAATACAGCTTTTTTCAGAGGAATAAATGACATTTTAATATATATTAAAAATAGAAAACAATCATTTTAAATTGTAATAATATTTCACAACATTACTGTTGTTTTGTTTTGTGTTTAAAAAAAATAAATAAATAAAAAATGCAGCCTTGGTGAGCAGAAGAGACTTCTTATAAAAACATTAACTGATCTAAAACTTTTGACCGGTAGTGTATATACATATTATATATGTCTGTCTGAGTGTATATACTGTATACACACACAAACACATATGAAGAGTTCAGATGCAAAAGCCTCTAAGTGCCATTTGAAATTTTCTTCTAAAATTACCATTTTTATCAAGCTTGTATATTTAAGTTCAGTAATTTCACTTAAATGGCAATGAAGATTACCTATTAATTGTTATTTAAGTGAAATTACTGAACTTAAATATACAAGCTTGATAAAAATCATCATTAAAGAAGAACATTTCAAATGGCATTTAGAGGCTTTTGCATCTGAACTCTTCATATGTACATATACACAGACACACACATATACTGTATAATTTTTATAATCTATATATATCTATATATATATTTATATATACAGTATTTATATATATATATATATATAGATATATATAGATATATATATATTTATTATGTAAGCAAACTTTTTTGTTTTAAAGTTATGTTTTTAAATCAGTTTCCACACCACTACTATATATACACAAATATTTACTTAATTTTCAAAAGTTAAACAAATCAACTTTTATTTTATTGCGCTGAAAAGGGGCGTGGCTACATACAGTCTATTAGATTAGATTAGATATTCGCACTAAGCCATATCACGGCTTTATTTCAGTGCATCATGCAGCTCGTAGAGCACAGTACGCCAGCAGGATTACCTGTGTGCAGATTGGGTCTGCGGCTCTGGGGGAAGAGTCTCTGACAGTGTCTCAGCCGTGTCTCCTTCACTGTACACCAGGGGGCGTCCGCCGTCGGTCAGGGTGCTGTCACTCAAACTGGTCCCGAGAGAGAGTCTCCTCAGTATGGAGGCGGCAGCTCCCCTGTCCTCCTCCTCCTCTCTCTCCCACAAGTACGGCTCCGCTGCTCCCAGATACTTTTCCAGGCGCCGAAGCTCCCGGCGTCGCTGCCGAAGCTGATCCTGGATCAGAATCATCATGGTATCGCCCTCATCTCCCCTCTCAGTTCCTGGAGGCACAACTGTGGACACGAGCACATCTGGTTAGGGGTTGAAGCGCTGCTTTATATACAAAGCAAAGAATCATCATTTTGGGTGAGCTATTGGTCAAAAGAGTAGTTTACTTTAAAATGAAATTTAGCGCATGATTTACTCCCCCTCAAGCCATCCTAGGTGTATATGACTTTATTCTTTCAGACCAATACAATCGGAGTTAGCTTCCGGCCAAACGCAGTCTACTTGTGGATAAAGTGCAACTTACACACTTATATGATGGACAGATGCACTTTTATGATGGATAGATGCACTTTTATGATGAATAGATGCACTTTTATGATGGATAGATGCACTTTTATGATGGACAGATGCACTTTTATGATGGATAGATGGACTTTTATGATGGACAGATGGACTTTTATCATGGACAGATGCACTTTTATGATGGACAGATGCACTTTTATGATGGATAGATGGACTTTTATGATGGATAGATGGACTTTTATCATGGACAGATGCACTTTTATGATGGATAGATGCACTTTTATCATGGACAGATGCACTTTTATGATGGATAGATGCACTTTTATCATGGATAGATGCACTTTTATCATGGATAGATGCACTTTTATGATGATAGATGCACTTTTATGATGAATAGATGCACTTTTATGATGAATAGATGCACTTTTATGATGGATAGATGCACTTTTATGATGGACAGATGCACTTTTATGATGGATAGATGGACTTTTATGATGGACAGATGGACTTTTATCATGGACAGATGCACTTTTATGATGGACAGATGCACTTTTATGATGGATAGATGGACTTTTATGATGGATAGATGGACTTTTATCATGGACAGATGCACTTTTATGATGGATAGATGCACTTTTATCATGGACAGATGCACTTTTATGATGGATAGATGCACTTTTATCATGGATAGATGCACTTTTATCATGGATAGATGCACTTTTATGATGATAGATGCACTTTTATGATGGACAGATGTACTTTTATCATGGACAGATGCACTTTTATGATGGATAGATGCACTTTTATGATGATTGGATGCACTTGTATCATGGATAGATGCACTTTTATGATGGATAGATGCACTTTTATGATGGACAGATGCACATTTATGATGGATAGATGCACTTTTATGATGGATAGATGCACTTTTATCATGGACAGATGCACTTTTATGATGATATATCCACTTTTATGATGGATGGATGGATGCACTTTTATCATGGATAGATGCACTGGGCTAATTTTCATTTTAAAGTGAACTACTCCTTTTAAAGCATCTCTTGCCTGGTGTCGAGGTGTCTGGCACCACCACGGGCCTCAGTCTCTGCACCAGTGACGTGTACTTCTCCCGCAGCGGCACGCGAACAGACTCGCTCTCGTCAGGAAACACTCTCGCTAGAGTTTCTGCTGTCTGAACATCAGAAATTACACCCGAGTTTTGAGTCACTGTGAGTCACCAGGAGAGTGATGCGCTAAAGTACTGTGACGGTACAGTGATGTATCAGATACAGTTATTCACATATTTACTACGATTGTTTTTTGGACACATAAAGTCTTAATACTGTCTGAGAGTTAGTTAGTAGCCTTTATTTAACTAGGTTAAATTTATAAAGTGTATAAGGATTACTAACCAACTCCCACATAATAGTGAAATAGTATTCTTTGGGACTTAGTTTGTAACATTTATTTAACTACTTTGAAATTCTAAGACATTATAATGATTCATGCACAAAAAGTACTAACATGTTAGTTAGTTATCTATATTTTTAAACTGGTTAAAGGTGACCAACTAACTCCCCAAAAATACTAAGACAGCAACAAATACAATGGTGCATGTCTAAAAAACTGCTAACAAGTTAACTAACTACGTTTGTTAGTTAGTTCGTTACCTTTATTTTATCCTGGTTCAATTAAGGTCCTAACTAACTCCCAAAGAATACCAAACATTACAACGGTACATGTCCAAAAAATTTAGTTAGTTAGTTGGTAACCTTTATTTTTGTCACAAAAAGACATTATTAGATTTACTTGACAAGCCTTAGGTATCCTGAATGAGTTTAGATTAGTGATGAATGTTATTACCACATGACTGGGTGGCAGTTCGGACAGCAGGCTGAGCACTAAGTCCTGCAGGGCTTCCTCTGCGTTCATGAACCGGCAGAACGGCAGGAGTCGGCGAGCCCAGCACAGAGCCTCAACACACACATCTGACACACTCGCGTCACTGACCTGACACACAAACACATGGACTGACAGCTCACATCTTTGCAACATTCTGCTGTTCATTGTTTGTTCATATTAGCTCACAAATACATCCTTAAACGGATAGTTCACCCAAAAATTAAAATTCTGTCAGTAATTACTCACCCTCATGTTCTCTGACGTATGTGAACTCACTCGAGGCCCACAGAGAAAGAAATGAAGAGTTGAATAAAGTCGTTATTTTGGTGTGTTTTTTGTGCACAGAATGTATTCTCGTCGCTTGATAAACTGAAGGTTGAGCCGCTGTCGTCACTCGGAATATTTTAACGATGTCTTTAATAACTTTTCTGGGCTGGCAAGTTTCAATCCCTTAGAAGCATATGGAGGAGTGATCCAGCTCTCAGATTTCATCAGAAATATCTTCATTTGTGTTCTGAAGATGAACGAAAGTCTCACGGGGTTGAACAACATGAGTCATTACTGACAGAGTTTACATTTTGGGGTGAACTAACGCTTTAAGCCGGGTGCACACTGTGCGATTTTGGCCAAATTTTGTGAATCCTAAAAGATTTTTCCGATCCTATGCTAAAATCTCTTCGATTAATCGCCACCGACTGCCGATTAATGACCGTTACGATCGAATTTGACCTCAGATGAAACTCTGGCAGGGTCAGAAGATTTGGCTCTCAGTCCTGCAGTGAGTTCTCCTACCTACGACAACCTTCAAATTGTCTTCGTTTTTCAAGACAAGCCATGACCAAAATAGACGTTAGAGATTTCTTTGTAGCCACCGTTTCAATCCCGCATGTAATTTTTAGCTCGCTTCCTAATGTAGCTCACATCACCGAATTGATGTGTCATTGATTGATGATGTAAAACTCTGGGCAAGTTCTCTTGCGTGCGTCCGTTTTTAACATGACTTACATGTTTGTACAGTCTGACAAGCAACAATCGTAAAGCACAGTGTGTACCCGGCTTTAGATTTTAAAAATGAATTAGTAAATGTTTAAATTAATATTAACTTGTTCATTCTTAGTTCATGTTAACTAATGTAGTGTTACCGTTTTCTTTAAACGCACCTGAGTGTCTTTCTCCCGTTTTCTTGCAGTCTGGTACCTTCGACAGGTAATAGTGAGCTGGTCCCTCACATGGAGCATCCAGCAAAGCGCACACAACTCACGGAAACATGCTGAACAAAGGCACAAATCTCACATAAATACACAAAACTTCAAATGGACACTACTCACGTAAAGATCTGAGAGTTAATTATATAAAACATACTTATTATTTGCGTGGTGACACCATCCATGTCTTTGCTGGGCCCTGATTGGAAGAACCCACGATGAGTGAATTTTTTCAGTCCATCAGGAATCAATTCGGCTTTGGGTTCGGACGCTTTCTTCTGGATCTACCAACAGAAAACATTAAGAAGATTCTTAAAATCACCATGAAATCAAAACGAACAATTCTTGATTTTTGATGTAATATTGCAGTATTTATCATAAATGATTTACTGGTGCACATCATTATTGTGTTAAATTCAGTTTCCTGGCATTCTTGGATCAGAATAACTTCTGATGATGAGGGCGGGGCCACCTGTCACTCACATGAGATCCACCAATAGCAAACCACAACCATCCAATCAATTCCCCACAGACACAATCAAGCCCCGCCCACATTTCTTCTTGTTCCATTTCACTGGGAGGAAATGTCTAGCGCAACTTACCTTTAAAAGAACATCCAAACATGTTAAAATGAAAATGTCCTTATAATTTACTCTCCCGCACGTCACCCGAGATGTCCATGTGTTTATTTCTTCAGTGGGAAAGAAATGAAGGTTTTTGAGGAACACACTCCAGGATTTTCCAGATGTGAGTTTCAGTGCAGCTTGACACGATCCAGCCGAGGAATAAGAGTCTGATCTAGACAAACCAGCCCACATTTACAACAAAACACACATTTATATACTTTAACCACTAATGCTGGTCTTGCACGAGTGATGCGACACATCAGGGTGAAAGGTCACGCGGAAAATGTAGGATAAAGCGAAAAACTCCATATCATTTTCTCCTCCAACTTCAAAATAATTATATTTTTTTTGTAAATGACGTTTGTCTTAGTCTTTGCATGTTCGGTTTATAAACACTCAATCTGTTCGTCTGCTTGACCTTTCACCGTGATGACGTAATGTGTGGCGCATCACAGCTAGAGCAAGACCAGCATTAGTGATATAATTAAACGTATATAAATGTGTGTTTTGTTATAAATGTCGCTTGTTTGTCTAGATCAGACTCTTATTCCTCGGCTGGATCGTGTCGAGACTTTGAAGCTGCTCTGAAACTCACATCTGGAAAATCCTGGAGTGTGTTCCTCAAAAACCTTCATTTCTCTCCCACTGAAGAAAGAACATGAAAGAATTTTAAAATTTCCTGATAATTTAAAGTGAACTAACCCTTAAATTGTGGACTAATCCTGCAATTCAACGGCTTGAATGGTCCAAGGCTCAATCCCAATTCACCCCTTGGCCCTTAAAACAGAGTTACAAGGGCCAAGGGGTTGAAATATTCCCTTACGAAATGGAACAACCCTTCATGAACCCGATAGGCCATCAGTCGTCGGCGATGGCTCTGCCGTTACAGAGTTTGTACAGGATTTCTCCATGACAACGACTGACAATCAGCGCAGCTGCTCTTAACTTTGAATAAACATGATGATTATAACATCCCTTCCTCGAAATGCATGTCTTTTCTGATCCGAAAGGTAATTTATTATACCATTTCTTAATTTAAATTAATATATATTATTATAAGTAAGGGTTAATGCCCGACGAGGTGTCCATTGTCAGGTTTTAAAAGGCGTTGCCTTCGCCGAAGTCCATTAAAACCTGACAATGGACACCTCGAAGGGCATTAACTCGCTTATACCATGGTCACTTGCCAAATAAAACATTTTTAAAACATTAGCTGCTAGGTTATATTTAAATTAGGCTAAATCTAGTTTTTTACAAATAATAACTCGCCTGGTTTATTTAGCAACCGGAGATATTTATAGTCCGCTCAGCTTGTACCCCTCAGGTTCAAAAATGCATTTTTTTTTTTCATGAAACACAAAGGTAGGCATAGTTATTTTTTTATTTATTACACATAAAACAATGAATCAAACAGGCTTCTTAGGCTTGAAACGCTGTACTCTCCTCCTGCTGCGTAAAACTCCCGCAGGGTCTCATTCAGAGCAGCAGCGGTGTCATTTTTTTTGCGACGTTTCTCCGTTTTATTTACATTTTTTCTTTCTTCAGCAGCATCCCAGTCGTCAAAGTTGCCATATTCTCCATAAATGTTCAAAGAAATAACGAAGTCGTTCATTGTTGTATTAGTAGGCTATGTAATATCTAACTAATGTTAGATGTTTGTTTTGATAGAGCAAATTGTTAACGGATACTTTGACTGCCTGTTGCTATGGTTACTCACAGCTGTTGTGGGCAGCGCATTTATTTATTCATTTCGAATGGTAAACAGGCAGTTTCACCAGAACTACTTTACTAGGTGTCCTCTATCACTTTTTAACGGACACCATGCAGCCAATCAGAATCGAGTATTCACCCAGACCATGTTATAAGAGTAAATAACGTGCGTGTTGGAATCATCTACTGCTAAATTTAAATGTTTAACCGTTAGCAAAGCCAACTCGCCCTCCGTTTGGAGTGTGCCTCTGAAAAAATCTCCGTTTCAAGGGCTATGTAGCCCTACCCCTCGATCTCAACAAGAATCAGGACACCCTACCTCTAGACGTGAACACGCTAAACGGAGAGATAGGGCCAAGGGGTGAATTGGGATTGAGCCTAAATGTCAGTTTTAGTGGGAAACGGCAAAGAGAGAATAAAATCATCGGATCTCACCTTGTTCAGTAAGTGTCTGCAGCGATGCAGGCTGCTGATGTACCACTGCGCGGCGGGCAGAGAACCGCGCGCCGCCCTGAAGATCATCAGAACCTTCTGAACCAGCCCAGAAACCCCACAGCGAGTCTCAGTCTCCAGAACCAGAGCCGGATCCCTCACAGAGTCCTGATGAGACCGAAACACAGCTAAAGACACTCCTCCTACAACTCTGAGATCTAGTGATTGTGCCTGGATCTACACTTAAAAAACAAGACGATCACAATTTTGCGACTGCAGGCTCAAAACTTTGGAAAAGTCTACCTCTCTACATTAATAATTAATTACATTTACAGGTGAAACTCGAAAAATCCGGACAGATTTTGGTCCATATGGTCCTCTCTTTGGGAATATATAAAGGAACTCCCTTAAAGGAGTAGTTCACTTTAAAAAAAAACTCTTGCTGATAATTTACTCGCCCCCGTGTCATCCAAGATGTCCACGTCTTTCTTTTTTCAGTCGAAAAGAAATGAAGGTTTTTGATGAAAACATTCCAGGATTTTATCCATATAATGGACTTCAATGGGAACCAAACAGTTCAGGGTCCAAATGAGAGTTTCAGTGCAGCTTCAAAGGGCTTTAAACGACACCAGACAATGAATAAGGGTCTTATCAAGGACCCTTCAAATCATGACTCGAAAAAAGTTTTATTCATTTTGATGAACAAGTTCAAACAGGAGAGTCACAAACGCTCATCACAGAACAGAGCAAGGCGAGCATTTGTGCTTATAAAAGTTACACTTTTTTATTTATTTTTGAAATGGGCGATCGTTTCGCTTGATAAGACCCTTATTCATCGTCTGGTGTCCTTTAAAGCCCTTTGAAGCTGCACTGAAACTCTCATTTGGACCTTGAACCGTTTGGTCCCCATTGAAGTCCATTATATGGATAAAATCCTGGAATGTTTTCATCAAAATCTTAATTTCTTTTTGACTGAAGAAAGTAAGACGTGGACATCTTGGATGACATGGGGGTGAGTAAATTATCAGCAAAAGTTTTTTTTTAAAGTGAACTACTCCTTTAACTTCCAATCTAAAGGATGCTCTAAGTCAATGTGACCTTGTTTATGTGTCGTTGTTATCTTAATTTCTTTCAATTATTACTGTCTTATATGTTGTGTACGCCCTATAATACGAATAGAACTTTGTTGTGATACTGTAAATGTAAATTTTCTATTGTGGGCAAACAATTAAAAAAAAAAAACTCGAAAAATCGTAAATGCAAAAGTTCTTTTATTTCAGTAATTCAACTTCAAGGTGAAACTAATATATTATATAGACTCATTACATGCAAAGTGAGATATTTCAAGCCTTTATTTGTTATAATTGTGATGATTATGGATTACAGATATGAAAAATTAGAATATTGTGAAAAGGTTTTCATATCTGTAATCATCAAAATGATAACAAATAAAGGCTTGGAATGTCTCACTTTGCATGTAATGAGTCCATAGACCATTTTGCAAGATGTAAACAAGACTGGTCCAGAAACACTTCCTGTTTCGGTTTGTAACTGTTTTCTTTATTTCACATGTAAAGAAAACATCTTAAAGATATTTGTTTAACTTTTTGATTCAGTATTATATGTTCTGTTGGTTGTATTTTATCCCAGCTTTTATGTAGTGTTAAAAAACTGAAACAGGAAGTGCTTCTAAGCCAGTGTTGTTTACATCTTGCAAAATGGTCTATATAATATATTAGTTTCACCTTTTAAGTTGAATTACTAAAATTTTTCTCTGCACTCAAAGCGCACATTAGATTAGCTCCCTTTAAAGATTTATTTATTCTCTTTGGCTTTTAATACTCCTTGATTTAGGTACAATTATTGTTTATCTATTGTTGTGTGTTCCTTTATTTTATTCTGTCCTGTATAGCACTTTGGTCAGCCTTGGTTATATTGTCAATATCGTATTGTGAGATGAGAAGGACATGACATGCCGTCTGTGTGTGTGTGTGTGAGCGACCTGTGTGTTTGGTGAAGGCTGTGGACAGTACAGAGGAGGAGCGGGCAGGTAAAACGCAGGAGGAACCAGCGCAGGAAGTGATGTCGCTCGCTCTTTGGCTGCGTTCATCAGTCGTGTTAAAGGCTGAGAGACGACGTCCACCTCCGCCATGACGGACGCCTTCAGGATCTCCTGCACTGAGACTTGAAGCAGATCCACGTCCTCAACACTCGCTGCGTCTAAAGGAGACACACAAGCAGCATCTATTAAAATATATTGTATTATATATATATATATATTTTAGTAATTTGTCTAATGTGCTTGTTATTTTTATATATTTAAATATCATTTATCATTTTTTTTTTTTCCGTTGTTAGTCATTTTAGTCCTTCAGCATAAACTAATTTTATTTAGTTAACAAAGTATCATTTAAAATTTTCTATTAAGTTTTTTTAGGTTAAAGTGTTTCATCTAATATTTATACTTATTGAAATATTTAATTTTTAATCATATATTGAAATTTATTTATATAATAGTTTTAGTTAACAATAAGATTAAGTGTTTTATGTAATATATTTATTTAAATATTTTATTTTTAATAATATGGACTTGAGATGGCCAGGTATCCCAGAATGCATCTCGTACCAACCAGCAAGCGTCAATAGGAGAGGAGAAAATCCGCGAAATATCAAAATACTACTGTTATTGAGTCATGAAATGCAATTTTAAGAGTGTTTCAGGCGAGAATGTGGTTGTTTAAATCTCAAATCTGTAGTTTATTTATAAACATAGCGCCTATCTGAAAAATGCATCTGACGTTTTCGTAGTTCTGACATCCAAGCCTTCAGCGGCACTCAGCGAGATCAACCCCGACTGGAGCAGCTTATCCTCGTTTGCCGCCGGCTCTGATCTCTCTAGTCTAGATGTATAATTCGTCTTGTGTATAAGCCTATCTTTGGTCTCATTAAACTATGGTTTGTTCCATGGGAAAAAAAAATATTTTTTTTAAGCGTCATAACTTTATATATTTTAGGCTATTTAACTTTAACAATATTTTTTACATAATCTTCACTATATGAACAATAAAATAAAATGACACAACCCTGTCTCTGTTTGATAAATCCCAATAAAAATCAATGTGTCATATTTTTAAAATGAAAACAAAAAAGATCATGTTCATTTTGTTAAGATATGCAGTGAAGAGAATCGCGTTGCCTGAACCACATGGCCATAGGCTAATGTTGATTTTTTTTTTTTATAACATATTTCGTTTTAATGTTGACGAAAAGAGGGTGAGTTGAAGCTTATTTTGTTTTATTGTTGCCTAAAATATATAAAGATATAACCGGAGTAGCCAGAGTGTGCCGAGTGACGTGATCAAGTCCGAACTTGGCAAGTCCGAACTACCAAGGACTCAAGTCCGAAGTTTGCGTACGAAACGGCTATTCTCCTGAACTCCAGAATGAATGTCAGAATGGGAAAGAAAGGTGATTTAAGCAATTTTGAGCGTGGCATGGTTGTTGAGGATTTTCACAATCTGCTCAGTTACTGGGATTTTCACACACAACCATTTCTAGGGTTTACAAAGAATGCTGTGAAAAGGATCATTTAATGATGTTAATGCAGACACATCAATAATATTGTTGAATATTAAGTGTCCCCAACTAAGCAAGCCAAAAGCCAAAGGCGACAGTGGCAAGGAACCAAAACTGCATTAGGTGAGAGAATGGAGAGAAAAAAACTCTGGCCAACAAACAAACAGTTTATGATTATGATTCAGGCAGCATTAGAGCATTTACCTTTGTTACCATCCTCTTCAGACCCAAGCATTAACTTCTCCAGCTGATCGTGCAATATCCCCGCAGGCTTCAGCTCGGTGGGAAGGTGCAGCTCTTTCCACTGCAGGCTTGAGGAAAATACGGGAAAAACATCACTGTGGCATCAAGCGAGGATACCAGACATTCATTCTCAGTGTTGGGGAAAGTTACTTTAAAAAATGAATGCATTACAATATTGCGTTACTCCCTTAACCCTCTGGGCTTCTTCGTAAATGGGTTACACTTAGCTTCCTCCCGGTCAAAAACGGACGAAGCCTTAAAATTGAACTTTACTTTTTCCCAGGATAACCGTTCAAATATATTTTTGTTCTATAATATTTTCTGATTATTATTTAGAATTTTCAGAGTTTTCTATGATACTTTGCGTTAATTATATAATTTTTAAGAGCTATTTTTTCCATTATAATTAATATATATATTTTATTTTATATTTATTTTTTTTTCAATAAATGCAACAATTCACATCAAAATAGAGTGCCAGCTTTATAAAAAAAAATGTTCAAGTAGAAGAGCGCCACCTTGTGGCTTTAAAAAATAGTTACATGTGTGCAATGTCCTGTACAGCCTGTAGGCTGCCTATAGCTTCCTATATAAATACATAGGGAGGCTTTTTGATTTCTGTTGTTGTTTTAGACATGATTTCTCTATCTTATTCGTTTTTTTTTATTTAGATATAGATTTAGATATTCTAAAAGACAACTAATTATTTTTTTAACAATTTTTTTTAGATAAGTATCAGGTTTTGCGTTATGATTACAATCAAACAATAGCATTTGGTTAGAAAGGGAACACAATGCAAACATTTTTGTCACTCAGTATTTGATTATTCAAATAATTGAACAAAAGAAGGGATGGTTAGTGATAATTCAAAACACTTTACAGACATTTTGCAATAAATTGGTATTTTTTTATTAATTTTTTTATTCAATAAGTAATAAAAACATCATAAGGGAACAGCAATAATGATCGAACAGGAATAAACATAAAATAATACTAATTAAAAAGTAACTAAATTTCCTTTTTTTTTTAGAAAAGCACTGCGTTACGTTACTTTGGCGTTACTTTTTTTCACCTGGGCTGGGCTTATTTTTTTATAACAAAAAAGTTATATTTTTATGCAGATGTAAAGACCCTTTCACACCAAAAGTGAAATAATAAGCTTTAGGGCGCCACTCAAGCAAACCTTTAGATTAGAAGAGGATGCATGAGAAAAAGTTTAACAATTATCTACAAAAAAAAAAAAAAAAACTATAGTAATTTTTGCCAATGGTTTAACTGAATCATCGGAGGCCAGAAGCAAGTACATTGGTCAATAAAGTGAGATTAAATGCATGTTTTATTTAACATATTTAGTTTTTGGAGGTTTGCATAGTATTCTGATTCTGCATTTCACTGATTTTATTCATTTTGAGGAATATTGATTTTTTTTTTGTGCAAATGAGAGGAGTAAATGCACAATCACAATTAGTCTAGAACTACAATAACCATCATGTTTACACACAACGCCTCTGCACTTCCATTTCTGAGCTTCGGTCAATAAATGTGAAAACAGCGTAACTTGTAGGGGTGTAACGATATATCGCGTCACAATATATCGCAGATACACTGCAACATGTATCGTGGCTAGTGATAATATGTATAGTTAGTGTAAGTCAGTACTACATGAAACTACAATATAACGTTGAGTATAATGTATAGGGGGAATATTTGTGGGTCCTGATAATGCCAAATCTCTGATGTTACCAGTAAGTGGCCTACATTTTAAATATATCTAGTCAGTAACAGAGTGCAAGCATATTCGTCGAAAATAATTATGTATTTTCAGCTTCAGAATCATGAAGATTTCTTGTCCTGTCCATCAGCACCAAGTCCAAGCCCATTCATTTACACTAGAGCCCGACCGATAAAGGATTTTGAAGGCCGATACCGATACAAATATTTTTGGGTTTTAAAATCCGATATATCGGCCGATATTTTATTTATTTATTTGAAACTGGACATGATAGTCACAAATTTTGTCATGCTTATTTGAGTTTAGAGAACTGATGGAGATGTTCTTTTAATTGTTATTCAAGCAATGTATGTATCGTGACCAACTCAACGAGTGTTGCCAACAGGAACGGTGTAGAGTGCCCTCTGGTGGACAAACTATACAACTCCAACACTCGTGACATGGTTCAAGCGTGTTTCGTCCGTTTTTATTTTATTTTTTAAATATTTATTTATCGGCCATTATAACTGCCGATACCGATAGTTTGGAAAATGCCTAATATCGGCCGATAATATCAGTCTGCCGATATATCAATCTGGCTCTAATTTACACCCAAAATGTAATATCAAATTGAGCATTTTAATCAAAAGCACATTTTCTGTTAACCTTTTATCATCAGTATCGAGTATCGCAATAGTATCGTATCAAATCGTGACATGAGGGTATCGTTAAACCCCCAGAAACATGCGCTACTTGTTTGAAAAAGTAACTCAAATATTTTGTTGTAAATTTTAAGAGTAATGCGTTACTTTACTAGTTACTTGAAAAAGTAATCTGATTACATAACTCAAGTTAGATGTAATGAGTTACCCCAACAACAACAAACCTGCTGAAGTCTAAATGGCCACTGCAGTGGCTGGTGTACGCCAGGCCGAGGGTGACCGCCATCTTCCAGTCTCCCAGACGCTGTGCCATCCACACGGCCTCAGGGATCAGCCCGCCCAGCAGGAGGAGCTCTAGAGCGTAATCCACCGTCCACACCTCCGACAGCTGATCGAAACGAACCGCCGCGGCTGCACGAGCCTGAGACAACTCCACCACACGCACACCTGTGTCTGAAACAGCATCTCCGTTACACTCATCAACTCCTGCTTCAACAGTCACATTAGACACTGAAGGTCAAGTGCAATGCATTGCATTATGGGATACAGAGTGCTCTGATTGTAAACTACGCATTAGTTCAGAAATTAGCATACTGTGCAGAGAAATAGCCACACTGTGAAAAAAAATTATTTTGTTTTCCCTCAACTCACTGTTTGGTAAGTGAAGAGGCGGCAGCACGTCCACATTGTGTGGCGGGAGGATGCAGAGCGGGTGATTGGTGAAGTACGCAGCCATAAACCTGCCCAGAGACTGAACCACTGCGCAGGCCGCTTCACGCCCCACCGGCCCCGAGAGCCAGCCCTCACACACACACTCCTCTGCAGGGTACAAGTGATGGCGTATTAGAATTAGGGATGCACCGATATGAACATTTTGACCGATACAATCATCCTTTATAGTAGGCCTGGGTAATGAATATCGATTTCTCGATATTAATCGATTCTCATTTTTACGAACCGATATCGATTCTTAAATCTCAAGAATCGATTAGTCATCCTGTTTTTATTTGAATGAATGGATCATTGTATTCGCGGCTGCGCGCATCCAAAAAAAATCGCAATAATCTTTGTCCTTTGTTACTATTGATATGAAACAAAGTCTCAATTTTCAAATTACGTCCATTTTCTTTAGAAATTCAAAAACATAAATAGCGTTTTGGCGCTGTGGCCCAAGAGAAGCAGCAGCGCTGATCTCTCTTCCGGCTGAATAATACCAGTCACAGCGCCAAATAAACATGAATGAGCATCTGAAAGTGTGTTAAAGATAGAGTACAACTTATCGAAATCCGGATCATGTCACATTGATTCGCTCATCGAAAGACGTCAGTTAAACAGCTTGTAATCAATGTCATGTATCGTCATATTTACCTCAGAAAACCCACATAAACTCGTTAGTCAGCAAGAGAAAATAACTCTAGAGAGGAGCATTTTGATAAATACAGTGGTGTGAATAAGTGTTGGCCCCCATGCTAAATTTGCCTAAAAAGAGGAATAAAAAATCATCTTTTGGATGTTGATCTTAATGCCTTAATTAGAAAAATGAGGAAAACTCCAACCTTTAAGGACACAAATTTTCTTTGTGAATGAATAATGTATCATAAATAAATAAATGTTTTTCCTTAAAATACAGGGTGCATAAGTGAGGGCACCCCTATGTTAAATTCCCATAGAGTCAGGCAGATTTTTATTTTTAAAAGCCAGTTATTTCATGGATCCAGGATAATATGCATCCTGATAAAGTTCCCTTGGCCTTTGGAATTAAAATATCCCCACATCATCACACACCATTCACCACACCTAGAGATTGGCATGGTTTTACTTCAGTTAGCCTAATAGCTGGTTTGATTTGCATTGAAAGATGATCTTATGGAAAGTACCCCATGCCAATCTCTAGGTGTGGTGAATGGTGTGTGATGATGATGTGGGGATATATTAATTCCAAAGGCCAAGGGAACTTTATCAGGATGCATATTATCCTGGATCCATGAAATAACTGGCTTTTAAAAATAAAAATCTGCCTGACTCTATGGGAATTTAACATAGGGGTGCCCTCACTTATGCACCCTGTATTTTAAGGAAAAACATTTATTTATTTATGATACATTATTCATTCACAAAGAAAATTTGTGTCCTTAAAGGTTGGAGTTTTCCTCATTTTTCTAATTAAGGCATTAAGATCAACATCCAAAAGATGATTTTTTATTCCTCTTTTTAGGCAACTTTAGCATGGGGGCCAAAACTTATTCACACCACTGTATATACACCATATTACATATGCATTATAATCGTAATGTTCTTCAATATTTAATGCATATTTGAATAAATCTGGCAAGTTTTTATGACAGCCACCATTTAAATGTTTATATTTCATATAATCTTCTTATTATAAAAATAAATAAAAGTGTAATTTAAGTGTTTGTATAGCTTCAAAACAGTTCATTGAAGCCTATAGGCTACAACTAGACTCCCATAGTTTACAGCATTAGTTAAGAGATTTGGTCAGGTGGAACCGAGGATTGAACCACCAACCTTCCGGTTTGTAGACAATCTACAGAAAGCTACATTTTGAAAGCCCAAATCCAAGTTTTTATATAATACTTGAGCCTCTGATTACAAAACAAAAGTCTTTTGTTTGCGTGACATTCTCGCTGCGTGACATTCTCCAGTTTTGTTGTTGCCGGAGTATCCAAAGCACGAGCAGTAAAGGCTCCGCCCTCTTCTGGAAAGGAGGCGGAGCAGCAGCTCATTTAAATTTAAAGGGACACACACAAAAACAGCGTATTTGCTCAACCAAATGGGGGCAAATCTGTCAAGCAATAATAAATGATCTGTGGGGTATTTTGAGCTGAAACGTCACAGACACATTCTGGGGACACCATCTTGTGAAAAGAGGCAAAATAGGTCACCTTTAAGTGAAGATGTCAGGAATAAACTGTGTTGGTGATGAGTTTTTGAAATTGTGTCAGCAGAAGTAATGAGCTTACCAGCCCCTCCTGGCACGTCCTCTTCCTCTCGTCCTGCACGCGACTGAAGTTGATGTGCCAGACGGTCACAGAGACCATGAGCCTCTCGCAGGCGATACTGAAACAGCTGTGCGTAGAGAAGAGCCAGACAGTGGCGTGTCTCCAGGTAACACGTCATTGGACCTGCTGCGGGATGCAGGACGGATGTAGTGAGTGACATGTGACATTTAACATGGCAATGTGAGCTGAAATAAAAACAGGGACTGACCTTTCTCTCTCTCTGCCCATAATTCAGCCCTCCAAATCTGAACACTCTCCGCATATTCACCTAAAATAAAGTGCTGTTCCCCTGAGGATGGAGAACATTATTATGATATGATGGTGTAACATAAACATAAGACGCTTCTGTTATTGGTTACACGTGCTCACCGGTGAAACTACGCAATGCGTGGCTCTCCTCAAGACGATCTCCTGCAGACTGTAAAGCTTGCTGGACTTGAGCTATAATAACGGACATCTTCTCCAACTCGTGTTTTACGACCCCTTGACCTCTTTGGTGGCGTAACTCCTGCTGGTACCCCAAAGCCAATCTGTACAGCTCACGCCAAATAACCGCCAATCTGAAAAACACAACAGAGGCCTCAGGCCAAAACGGCAAGGCTGTTGACTTTTTCTAACGTTTGTTAGAATAAAAAATTTCAAAATGAATAAATAGTGAGTAGTGCTTGCCATGAGGCTAGTGTGATGGTTGCTAGGGTGTTGTCTTCCTTTCATTCTTTTTTACTTTAACTAGAACCAGCTTCTATAGTTATGTTCATGGCGAGAGCCAGGTTTAGTAATTCAAAAATAAAACTAAAGATGTTTAAGATTATTTTTTTTCTAAAAAAAAAAAAAGACTAAATTTGGATTTACTTGGTTAAAAACCTTTTTCAAATGTATTAACAGAATAAAACAAGTTTCTCAAAGGGCTAGAGGTATTACAGTCCAGTGTTCCTACTGTGATATGTGGTTTAAAATCGTTCTTAGTGGTTTTAATTCCTTAGTTGTTCCAGGTGGTTGCTAGGGTGTTGCTAATATGTTCTGATTGTTTTGTATGTGCTGCAACAAAGTTACTAGGGTGATCTGGATGGTTGCTAGGGTGGTGGAAAGTGGTTGCTAATATGTTCTGATTGTTTTTTATGTGTTGCAACAAAGTTACTAGGGTGTTCTGGATGGTTGCTAAGACTATCTGAGTGTTTTTATATGTTACTATGAAGTTACTGGGTTGCTCTGGGTCGTTGTTATGGGGTTGCTATGTGATTGCTAGTATGTGCTGAGTGTTATTTTATGTTGCTATGAAGTTCTAGGTGGTTGCTAAGACTATCCGGGTGTGTTTTTACTCAAGTAAACCAAAACAAATTGAGTAGTGCTTGCCATGTGGTTTGTTGCTAGGGTGTGGCTATGTGGTTTTATGACACGTTGAGTGGTTTCGATATGTTGCTATGAAGTTACTAGGGTGGTCTGGATGATAGCTAATGCAAAGACGTTCTGAGTATTTTTATATGTAGCTATGAAGTTACTAGGGTATTCTGGGTGGTTGATAAGACTATATGAGTGTTTTTATATGTCGCTTAGTTATTAGAGTGTTCTGGGTAGTTGCTAGGGTGTTGCTATGTGGTTGTTAAACTGTTCTGAGTGTTTTTATATGTTGCTATGTAGTTACTAGGGTGTTCTGGGTGGTTGCTAAGACTTTATGAGTTTTTTTATGTCGCTATGAAGTTATTAGAGTGTTCTGGGTGGTTGCTAGGGTGTTGCTATGTGGTTGTTAAACTGTTCTGAGTGTTTTTATATGTTGCTATGTAGTTGCTAGGGTGTTCTGGGTGGTTGCTAAGACTTTATGAGTTTTTTTATGTCGCTATGAAGTTATTAGAGTGTTCTGGGTGGTTGCTAGGGTGTTGCTATGTGGTTGTTAATCTGTTCTGAGTGTTTTTATATGTTGCTATGTAGTTGCTAGGGTGTTCTGGGTGGTTGCTAAGACTATATGAGTTTTTTTTAATATGTCGCTATGAAGTTATTAGAGTGTTCTGGGTAGTTGCTAGGGTGTTGCTATGTGGTAGTTAATCTGTTCTGAGTGTTTTTATATGTTGCTATGAAGTTACTAGGGTGTTCTGGGTGGTTGCCAAGACTATATGAGTGTTTTTTATATATCGCTTAGTTATTAGAGTGTTCTGGGTGGTTGCTAGGGTGTTACTATGTGGTTGTTAATCTGTTCTGAGTGTTTTTATATGTTGCTATGTAGTTGCTAGGGTGTTCTGGGTGGTTGCTAAGACTATGAGTTTTTTTTAATATGTCGCTATGAAGTTATTAGAGTGTTCTGGGTAGTTGCTGGGGTGTTGCTATGTGGTAGTTAATCTGTTCTGAGTGTTTTTATATGTTGCTATGAAGTTACTACCTTGTTCTGGGTGGTTGATAAGACTATATGAGTGTTTTTATATGTTGCTATGAAGTTACTAGGGTGTTCTGGGTGGTTGCCAAGACTATATGAGTGTTTTTTATATGTCGCTATGAAGTTATTAGAGTGTTCTGGGTGGTTGCTAGGGTGTTGCTATGTGGTTGTTAATCTGTTCTGAGTGTTTTTATATGTTGCTATGAAGTTACTAGGGTGTTCTGGGTGGTTGCTAAGACTATATGAGTGTTTTTTTTGTATATGTCGCTATGAAGTTATTAGAGTGTTCTGGGTGGTTGCTAGGGTGTTGCTATGTGGTAGTTAATCTGTTCTGAGTGTTTTTATATGTTGCTACGAAGTTACTAGGGTGTTCTGGGTGGTTGCCAAGACTATATGAGTATTTTTTATATGTCGCTATGAAGTTACTAGGGTGTTCTGGGTGGTTGATAAGACTATATGAGTGTTTTTTATATGTCGCTATGAAGTTACTAGGGTGTTCTGGGTGGTTGCTATGTGGTTGTTAATCTGTTCTGAGTGTTTTTATATGTTGCTATGAAGTTACTAGGGTGTTCTGGGTGGTTGCCAAGACTATATGAGTATTGTTTATATGTCGCTATGAAGTTACTAGGGTGTTCTGGGTGGTTGCTAGGGTGTTACTATGTGGTTGTTAATTTGTTCTGAGTGTTTTTATGTGGCTTTGAAGTCACTAGGGTGTTCTGTGTGGAAACTATGAACCGTAATAGATGACGACTGACAAAAAAAAGTTTGAAATTTAGGAAAAAGCCTTGAACACCAAAAAGTACCTATTAGAAGGTAGTTGTCGTGCAGTCTGTGTTACTGTCTCAGTGTCTTCTTGTAATATCGGAACAGAAAACATGTCAGAGGAATATGTTCGCTGGCCATCCTCCCCATGATGCAACGCTCTCGACGGGATGGTGTAGGCCCGATCCACGCTCCGAGACGCTTGCTGAAGGACGAAGAGCGCTGCGCTGAAGTTCTGTGATGTAAGAGCTACACCCGATGATGAAAGCGGGACGAAAATGTCTACGAAACATCTAGTGAGCTCCACTGTGACGCCTAGACAACCCGTGCCTGAGGAGTGTGTGGCGTCCCACGGCAGAAACGACAGGAGAGCTCTGAGTGTGTGAAGGGCGCGTGTGAGCCATGCGCTCGTACTCTTCGAGTCGCTGACCCTGAGGAGCTTCAAGAGGCGAACGACGCACAGGATTGTGTATCTGAGGAGACGCTCTCTCTGCTCCATGGACCCACCCAGAGAAACGCCCAGAGCCCAGGCTCTCAGAAGGTTCTTGTGAACCCGGTTCAGATCCTCCGGCAGATCTGAGGACGTGGACTCTGGATCTGCTTGTGCCTGAGCATGAAGAGTGTCAAACATCGACGCAAACTCAAGCTTGCCTCCATCTTGCATTTGTGAGTAGGCGTACGGTTCTTCATCAGAGTCATGATCTTCCTCATCCTAAAGAGATAATATTATTCATTATTTGGAGTAATTTATTTATTTTATTTTTTTTTACAAGTTTTTTTTATATAGCACTTTATAGAGGCCATCAGGTGTTCAAAGTGCTTCACATCAGGTACTAATAAACAATACAACATTCAATTAAAAACAAACAAAAAAATAAAACAAAAGCATGAAGCATAAAAACAGTCAGCTAGATATACTCAGAATCATCAGAAAAAAATTAAGTTTTAAAATAAGTTTCAAGTTTTGTTTTAAAAAGTACATTTGGAGTAATTTATATAGATTTAATCACTATACATTTTTTTTAAATTAATTTAATTAACCCTAAACCTAATTAAGTTATTTTTAAATAAAGGGTTAGTGGCATGTGTGGCTAGTGGGCGGGGTCTATGCAACCAATGGGCGTGGCCTATGTGACCAGTAGTGGGCGTGACACATGTGGCTAGCAGGCGGGGCCTATGTGGCCAATGGGCGGAGTCTATGTGGATAGTGGGCGTGGTCTACGGTGTAATGATGTATAACCACTCGTCTTACTCTGGAGACGTCATATGCAAATGTATTTGCCCGTGTGATGTCATAGATTACCCAATATCAAAACGAGCTGTTTTTGCAGCTTGATTAACTAAATGCTTTGTTTATAATTAGGAGAACTTTTTAATGCTATAAATACCTCGGGCTCTTATATGACAAAAGATCAAGGAAAATTTGATTTCTCATGCCATGAACCCTTTAATGTCCATTTTATATGCAAAGAGCGTTTGAGATGAGCTTACCTGAGCAGTCTCGGCACACTGTGCGAGGTCTCCTGTACCTTGCAGGTAGAGAGGTAGTGTGGACAGAGGGATTTCTTTCTCTTTCAGAGCCAGAAGACTTCCAGTGAACGTCAGAGTGGACATGGACTCCAGCCTAGACCTGACCTGAGGCTGAAACACCCAGAACACACTAGTGAACAGTGTCTTTGATAGCTAATGCATTACAATATTGAGTTACTCCCTTAAAAAGTAACTAATTGCATTTCTTAGTTACTTTTTAAGAAAAGTAATGCGTCACGTTACTTTTGCATTACTTTTTCTCACCTTATAACAAAAAAAGCTATAGTTTTGGGTAGGGCTGTGCAAAAATTAATTGCGATTAATCGCATCCAAAATAAAAGTCTGTGTTTACATAATATATTTGTGTGTGCTGTATATAATTATTTTGTACATATAAATACCTATGCATGCATGTATATATTTAAGAATTATTTGCGCTTAAATTCTGTATATATATATAAATGCATAATCTATATTATATAAATATAAATATTTTATATATGAATAACACATTTTCTTAAATATATACATGCATGTGTGTGTATTTACATATACAACATAATTATATACAGCACACACAAATATATTATGTACACACAGACTTTTATTTTGGATCGATTAATCGCAATTAATTTTTGCACAGCCCTAGTTTTGGGCAAATGTAAAGACCCTTTCAGACCAATTTTTTTTTCTAAATATCGATAAAAAACCTTTGCAAAATGACGGCGTTTCCATTAACCGATGTTATGCAACTAAAACGTCATTTTTTCCTCATTCCAAAACCATGGCAACGAACGTTGGTAGGTTTATATATATCAGAGCCGCCACACTAGACATTATTATTATTAATGGAAGGAGATGTGTGTGTGTGTGAGAGTGTTATCCAGCATTAATGGCAAGGAAAGACCTGTATACTGTGAGCGGCTCATTGACATTGATTTCCCATCCCCTCTGCTGACCTGAGATGAGGCCAGGACCTCGCGTATGTTCTCCAGTCCCCCGGGCAGCGTCCAGCAGGAGGGCGCTCATGATCCCGACAGCGGACGGGCGTTTGCTCATCCTCAGCACAGTTATCATGTACCCGTCGGACACGATGAGGAGCGGCTGGCGAGGATGACAGGTCACGGAGAACCGCTGTCTCATGGGGTCACGGAGCGACGCGCTCGAGCTGGACAGGCCGCCATCTTGTATCTGCAAAGGCACTGGAGCGCTACGGATGAAATTGGAAACAGTGTTGTCAGATGGGAAATGTCAAAGTATCGTAACACAAGCTCAAAATGATCGTATTTGGAAGAAAAGTATCATAGATGAGTCAACCGTGCAGAATACAGATATTTATTGACCAACAACTTGTTGACCACTTTATTGCTGAATTATCGACCTTCGCGTAGAAACAACTGACCTGAGCGTTAGAGCAGGACGTAAACTGTTTTTATTCTTACAGAGATGACATGTTAATGTTATACAACTTTGTATAAAATATACAAAAGGAACTTTAACTTTAGAGTCATTCCCCACGATGATTGGCTGAGAAGATATAGGGCTACGTGAGATGAGATGGAACTTATAGTGAATTATGGGATTTTTTCATTACTGATCAAAATTAGGATACAAAGACGATAATTATCGTACATCTGGCATCATATTTTTTATAATGTTGCTCATTGCAAATGTGAGAGGAAATGATGCCTTATGCCATGATGCGATTATTAAATAAAGCATTAAATGCCTGTGGAGGAGGAAGAAAAAGATGAATAAAGATGATTAAAAGAAGTATTTATTTAATAAGAAAGGTCCTTATTTGTATTAGAAAAATTATATATTTTTTTAATAAATACAACATTATAATTAAACACATTTTTTGTAAAATGCAATTTGTTTAAAATTTATTTGTAAAAGGTTTTCAATATTTTTAAAAATGTTAAATGTGTAAATATTCATATAACAAGTACAATTATTAGTTTTATATGTTTTTTAAATTTTAAATTAATTAAAAAATTTAATTGTTATTTATAAACATGTCATAAAACCTAAGATATGTTGAAGCAACAGCAACATTATGATAAAATAATAAAACTTTTTTTCATAACTAATTTTATTACATCTGTAAATATTTCCATAATGAATAAAATTATGACAATAAAATAAAAAGAGAATTACAAAGGAATATAAATAAAAAATGTATATGTTATTATAAACATGTTATTATAAAAAAAAAGTCAAAAACCTAAAAGTTATATGTTGTAGGATGAAAATGAATTCAGATGTAAAAATGTTGACATCTCATTTTGACAACTTATTTTACCTACCATTTATTTATATTTAATGCACATATTATTTAATGCACATGTAAATGTTAGTAAAAATTATAAAATAATATGTGCATTAAATATAAATAAATAGTTACTATTTATTTATATTTAATGCATATGTTATTTTATAATTTTTACTAACCATTTACATTTAATGCACATCTTATTTTACCAACTATTTACTTATATATATATATAAAATGCACATCTTATATTTAATGCTCATCTCCCCCATTTGTGTTTCTAAAACGGCATGAAAAAAACCAACCCAACATCAATTTCCTTCAGGCAGTGAGCAACATCAGATCACCTGTAGGTGACGAGCGGGTGAAGAGGCAGGAAGTGGGCGGCGCCGAACTCAACACTACATCCTGTGGTGGACAGAGAGACGAGTCCCCCCAGACGAGCCAGCATGAGCAGAGAGCCTCTCTTCAGCACACAGGCCAGATAAAGCCCTTCCGGCGTCCAGCTGACAGAACACACCCAGTACGACCTGCAGGAAAACACACATCTTTCTCAAAGCTAGGATTCTCCGTTATACTTCACCATACTAGTGTTGTTACTCCCGTCCCTCGCAACATACTCTGTATTTTTGTACTTCCTGTTCTTACACATTCTCTGTACATTGGACTACTCATTGCCTTATTGCTATTTTGTTTTTTACTAGTATTACTACTACTTATTTTATCATTATCATTTCTTATTTACTATTTATTTATATTTAATGCACTGGACATCATATTTATTACTATCTGTTTATTTATATTTAATTCACATCTTAACTTATATATATTTTGAAACTTTATTTTTTATTTTTTTTCCTTTTGAAAAAAAAAAAAACACAGAGAAAAAAACAGCCACAACAACATACAATCGTTCAGAACAATTGTTTGGTCACCAATAGATTCTTACATGAAACAAAATCGATGAAAGTATATATGTCAGATGGTACATAAAAGTACATATTTTACCATTTTTACCTTCTGTTAAATGCACATAATATTTGACCATTTTTTTTACCATTTATATTTAATGCACATCCTATTTTACCATTTTTACCAACTATTTATTTATATTTAAATCTTAGTTTATATTTTTAGCTATTTAATGCACATTCTATTTTACCCACTATTTATTCATATTTAATGCACGTCTTATTTCACCATTTTACCTACTATATTTCATGCACATCTTATTTTATAATCTTTATTTCTGAGTCTAAGCAGCTGACGAGGTTTATAGGTTTATTTATCTGTGCATGTGACACATAAAAATGTTGAATCTTGAATCTTGGGGAGGGAAACAACATCACAGACTTGCTCAATATCAGATATGTCATTGCAGCAGTCAGGCAACATCTTTCCATACAAGCTATAAACCTGTTCATACAATCAGCCAATCAGATGTCTTTTAAAACACTCACCTAACATATTTAGCTGGAATAATGAGCTTCTTAACGCCACATCCTCCTAACAGGCTGGAAACCGTCACGAAGTTCTGAGTGCTGATGAACAACACCTGTGTGGCCTTTCCGATCACAGAGAAACACACGTTTAACACCACACACACGTCATTCCTGTGCCTGTAGGTCTGAATGTGGCGTTTATATGCTGAGTTTACCCTGGGGTCTTTCTGGTTCAGGACTACTGCTAAGAGCTGAGCGTCTGGAGAGAAGGCTGGAACCAGAGACCCTCTGGACTTCACTGGTTTACATGGAGGCAGGAGCTGGCTGAACGGGAAACACTTGGAGGACCAGTGAACACTGAACCCTGCTGAACTGCCAGACAAAACACAATCCAGCAATAAAGATCGAGAGGCCAGGGAATGCATGACCTGAACAAACACTATACAGTACGTGTCTTGAATGCAATGCAAGTTGCTTTGGATAAAAACAGCTTGTTATTATATATAAACGCATATATTATTACTCATTATTTCTGATAAAAACAGGTGAAACTCGAAAATTAGAATATGGTGCAAAAGTTCAAGGTGAAACTAATATATTACATAGATTCATTATTACATGCAAAGTGAGATATTTCAAGCCTCTATTTTTTATATTATGATGAATATGGATTCCAGCTCATGGAAACCTTTGCACAACATTCTGTGAAAAAAAGGAATAATAATTCTCATTTTGAATTTGGGGTTTTCATAAGCTTTAAGCCATAACCATCAAAATGATAACAAATAAAGGCTTGAAATATCTCACTTTGCATGTAATGAGTCTATATAATATATATTAGTTTCACCTTTTAAGTTGAATTACTGAAATAAATGAACTTTTGCACCATATTCTAATTTTTCAAGTTTCACCTGTACATTACGGTCCTCTCTGAAGGCACTAACATGCATATACATACATATTTTTCATAGATAGACATATGTATGCACATTCACACAAACATGTACATATGCACGCTTACATATTGCAAATATATACATTACATGTGCATGCTTTTTGCCTATCTGTGGTTTTTAATATTTGTAGTTGTTATGATTATATTGACTGTTTTTAATGGTTTAATGTAGCTGGAGACTTTAAATAATCTCTTCCTGCACTGTATTTGAATTGTATTTTCTTGCATATATTTAATAGAGTACAAATTATCTATAATAAAAATAATTTTAAAAAATCATAAAATAAATAACTACATTTATTAATAATAATAATAATAATAATAACAAATCACCATAAACAATATTTCCAAGTGAAATGAACAAATGATGGCGAAATTCGAACAAATAAACGCACATTTAGCATCATCTGACCTGAGTTTGTTTTCCCATGTGGAGTCCCACTGGATTTTCAGCAAGGTGACGATGAGCGTCCCGTCAGCACTGAACACAAACGCACTCAGACACGCGTCACCGACTGCCTACAAACACCACAGCCAAATATAACACATACTGTATGCAGAAACATTAAGGGCGCTTTGTTTCAGAACCTGGTGTGTTCGGCACGTGTGAACACAGATGAACGCCTGAACGAGATGTTGGAAGCAATCCGACCCAACGCTATTATAATTCATTACGGAAAATGTGCTACATAAATAGCAGTAGTGTCTGATTCTGTAAGTGAGCACATTAGTTATCATAGTGGAAAACCAAAAGAGCTCCTCTTCATCTTAATGTTGTTATACATACAGGTAAAACTCGAAAAATTAGAATATTGTGCAAAAGTTCATTTATTTCAGTAATTCAACTTTAAAGGTGAAACTAATACATTATATACACTCATTACATGCAACGTGAGATATTTCAAGCCTTTATTTGTTATAATTGTGATGATTATGGTTTACAGATATGAAAACCCCAAATTCAAAATTACAATATTGTGGAAAGGTTTCTTTATCTGTAAACCATAATCGTCACAATTATAACAAATAAAGGCTTGAAATATCTCACGTTGCATGTAATGAGTCTATATAATGTATTAGTTTCACCTTGAAGTTGAATTACTGAAATAATGAACTTTTACATGATATTCTAATTTTTCGAGTTTCACCTGTATGTATATATATATATATATATAACAAGCTTTCCTGTGTGCCATTTGAAATTTTCTTCTAAAATGACCATTTTTATCAAGCTTGTATATTTAAGTTCAGTAATTTCACTTAAATGACAATTAATAGGTAATCTTCATTGCCATTTAAGTGAAATTACTGAACTTAAATATACAAGCTTGATAAAAATGATCATTTTAGAAGAAAATTTCAAATGGCACTTAGAGGCTTTTGCATCTGAACTCTTCATATGTTGTTTATTTGCGCTTCTCCGTCCTGACGAAGCCCTGATTCCTGCTCCAGCTGCATTATAACATCCGGACAGTGTTTGCGTGTGTCTTTACACGGTCAACCTCTCGACAGCGCTGAGAGATCCAGAGAGCAAGTGAATATGCTGCAGTATTAATAAGAACGGAGTTTATAATTTAACATCGCCAATGACGGCTACATTCGTATAGTGTCTCGACAGTTACAAATAAAGCCACAATAAGGAATCGCTGACCAATTAAAGGACAGTTGTACTCGCATGTGACTTGCATAAACACATTTTGGTTCGCTTTGAAAGGTTGCATTGTGAAAAGGACCCGAACCAAGGAGAAAAAGCAACATTGTAACAAATTAAGTCAACAAAACAATAACGCTCTAAGACTCATTCACTGTTTTTACCTGGTTCTTCACAAACACACTATGAACGGATGCCTCTTTGTCCTTTACGGAGGGCAGTTGAGTGTTTTCATGGCATGATATGTGACTCCATCGCCCCGTGATGGTGGCGTCCCGCGGGCCGCTTAGATCCTGAGGTGTCGTACACTCCCAGAGGAACACCTGTCCTGTGAGAGCGGCCAGGAAAACTCGCTGCGCATTCTCCGAAACCAGCAGAGAAAGTCCGAGTGTAGTCGCACAACCTGCGGAAGACGAGGCGTTAGTTTGAGGATGATTACAGCATGTGCATCAGGAAAAGTTGAGCCACTGTCGTCACTCGGACTATTTTAAAGGGTTAGTTCACCCAAAAATGAAAATTCTGTCAGTATTTACTCACCCTCATGTTGTTCAACCCCGTAAGACCTTCGTTCATCTTCAGAACACAAATTAAAATATTTAAGATATTAAGATCGCTCCTGCATACAGTCCATAGGCTTCTTGAGGGAATGACTCTCGCTGGCATCGAAAAGTCATTAAAGACATCGTTAAATAGTCCAAGTGACTACAGTGGCTCAATTTGAACTTTATCAAACGACGAGAATACTTTTTGTGCGCAAAAATAAACAAAAATAACGACTTTATTTCAACTATTCACTTCCTTCTCCATGTCACACGAAGGCTCACTATTGGCCGACGCTGGTCATGTGTGTGTGATGCGTGTGACGTACAATAACAGAAGCTTACGCTATTAAACTAGTAACCTGACTCGCGCAGAGGGAGAAATAAACCAATAGTTGAAATAAAGTCGTTATTTTTGTTGTTTTTTTGCGCACAAAAGTGTTCTTGTCGTTTGATAAACTTAAGATTGAGCCCCTGTAGTCACTTGGACTATTTTAACGATGTCTTTAATGACTTTTCGATGCCAGCAAGTGTCATTCCCTCAAGAAGCCTATGGACTGTATGCAGGAGCGATCTTAATATCTTAAATATCTTAATTTGTGTTTTCCGAAGATGAACGAAGGTCTTGCGGGGTTGAAACAACATGAGGGTGAGTAAATACTGACAGAATTTTCATTTTTGGGTCAACTAACCCTTTAACGATGTCTTTAATAACTTTTCTGGACTGGCAAGTTTCAATCCCTTAGAAGCCTATGGAGGAGTGATCCAGCTCTCAGATTTCATCAGAAATATCTTCATTTGTGTTCTGAAGATGAACGAAAGTCTGACAGGGTTGAACAACATGAGGGAAAGTCATTATTACTGACAGAGTTTACAGTTTGGGGTGAACTAACGCTTTAAGAGTTTACACAGACCTTTGATGGAAGAAACCAGCTGATGAAGCGCAGGAACTGCTGAGACCGTTTTTAGCAAATCCTTGTCTTTGTTCCACAGGAAGAGTTCTCCAGAGACCAGCAGACCCACCAGCCACACGCCTGCAAATAACAGGAATGAACACATGTGTGATCCCATCACAACACACACACACACACACACTGATGAGTGACAGTCGTTCACCGTTCTGAGACGCTGACATGGACACCACCCTCTGCAACAGCGGCTGAAGTTTGGGGATCTTCTTTTTGGTCCGTCCCGAAAGCAAATGTACTTCACTGATCCGACTGTCATCTAGCAGAAAAACACCCTCCTTTTCCTGAAAGAAAACAGTGTTGGCATGCATTAAACTTTAAGATCAGTAAAAAGAGGAATCTTCCGCTCAGCTAGACAGCATTTATTTGATACAAAACAGTCAAATAGCAATTTAAAACAGCTGTTTTCTATGTGAATATAAAGTAAAGTGTAATTTATTCCTGTATTTTCAGCATCATTACTCCAGTCTTCAGTGTCACATGATCCTTCAGAAATCACTCTAATATGAGGATCTGATGATCAAGAAACATTTATGATTATTATCAGTGTTGAAAACGGTTAAAAAGAAGAACAGAATTTATTTTAAATATAATCTTGTGTAACATTATAAATGTCTTTACTGTCACTTTTGACCAATTTAATGTGTCCATAAAATTATTAATTTCTTTCGCCCAAAAAATCTTACGGACCCTTTCTATATCCTTTCTGATGTTTTATATTTCAAATAAATGCTGTTCTTTTTAATTGTCTATTCATCAAAGAATCCTGTTTTCAACACTGATAATAATCATAAATGTTTCTTGATCATCAGATCCTCATATTAGAGTGATTTCTGAAGGATCACTGAAGACTGGAGTAATGATGCTGAACATTCAGGAATAAATTACACTTTACTATATACTCACATAAGAAACAACTATTTTTTAAATTATATAACTAAACGATAATATATCACTGTTTTTAATGCATTTTTGATTAAATATGCAGAATTGGTGAGCAGAAGAGACTTCTTTCAAAAACATTCAACAATCTTACTGATAAAACACATGGTTGCGTCAAAAGTTTTAAAAAAGTCACTTTATTTTCTTATGTCACTCATTTTGTTTTATTTTACTGATTTTACCACTGATCTTGTTGCTTAGCGCTTATTTCGTAATTTATCTACATATATACACATTTTGTTTATATAGCAGTAAGGTTTATTGTATTTTGTCTGTGGAGTAGAGTTCAAATATTTTATTGTACTTGGTAACTTGTACGTACACATGACAATAAATTACTTTTGACTTTGATATTGGTGTTTGTTTGAAATCATTACATTAGTTTCAAAGCATTAAAAAAGTAAAAATGTGCATTAGTATGATCTCACCCGGCCAAGCCAGCAGAATCTGGGCCACGGCTTGCGGCGCTTGATGCTGGACGACAACAAAACCTCGAACTTCACATCCATTCTCGGCACTGACGGTGAGTTTCAGAGGACCAGCAGCTCTGTTCCCGACAACATTCAGCTTCATGTGGAGCGTGGGAATTAAACACAGCAGCACACAGGGAAAATGAGTCAAATTACTCATATTTACAGCCCACATAACATGTTAAACAAGATATTGAAGCAGAGTATAATACAACCTTTGAATTATATGCTGTATTTTTCTGTTTTTTTAACTGGTTTACAGCTAAATTATCAGAACAAGCACAAATAAACATAGTATGCTCATAGCATGACTAAAGAAGTTAACCACAGCACGTAGTTAGCAAGATAAATCAGATATAAGGTATTTATGTACATAAACTTTCATCTAAAATTAACCATATTATTATTATTTTGCATAATTTAACCGCAAATCAAATTAGCAGTCAAAATACTGTATTACAACAACAGCTACGTTACACTATTAGTATAAACATCACCGTTTTTAAAATGGATGAAAGAAAGATTTGTGAATGATAACATGCCAACAAATACGATTAAACGAATAATATTTAAGAAATAAATAACTGTCATTAGCATGCGCAGTAATACCGTTAGCTGCGGTTTGTAAACACAACATCAAACTATATCCACACAGACACACACACCGTAGTTCTGTACGGTCTTAAACGGATATTAAAGTGTCTTTATACTCTACCATCATCCCATGACTTTAATCAACACTTCCGTGTCTATTTTATCCGCTGTTTCGAATCTCCCTCCACTTCCGGTTTTCCAAACATCAAACATCCCATGCTTCCCACTGCGTTTCCATAGAAGCTTCAGACGCATCCGAGCCATGATCCGAGCGCAGCCAGTGCGCAAGCGCGATCAGAAGACGACGGAAGGCTTCTCGAGCATGCGCAGAACTCATGACTTTTTTTTCTTTCTAAACACACTTATTTACAAAACACACTTTACAAGATCTATCGTTACGAGACTCGTGTGCAGAACATAGTTAAACACAGTTAAATAGAACAAAACTCGATGAGATAATCAATACAAATATAAAATAGCCGAAAATAAATTAAGCAAAGGCACTTCAGTCACTTCAAAGTTATTCACATACATTGTCCTCAGTCTTCATAATATAGGCTATTCTTAAAACTAAAGTGACATGGAAGCTTTACAAATTATAATGATAAATATTTTGAGACATTTTCATAGAGAGTAGCCTAAATGTTATCACTGGAGTCTTAAGTTTCAAAGAAGCAAAGTATTCCCTCGTCAATTTTAAACACCGGATGTATTTTTGTTTTGCCATTTACATTTATGAATATGGTATTTACCCCATAATTGAAATGATATTGTAAATTCTAAAACGTTCCTTTGGAAGGGTTTTGTTACCAAAACGAATTGCTCTAACTTCAATTATAATTCTCTCCATTTTTTTATTTCCAGCCAATTCATGACTGAATCTTTTTTATCATTGGACAAGAGAAAAAACAATATTCAATATTTTCATCTTCCTGGAATAGAAGAAGAGCACACATGGCTCCATTTCAAAACCAAATCTCTTTTTAAGCATTGCTGCTGCTGGATAATATCATTTTATAATTTTGAATTGCATTTGTTTGATTTTAGGCGCAGAACTCATGACTAATCGGGTCCTCCCTCGAAATTGCGTCTATATCGACTATCAAGATTATACTAGCCTATAGGATACATACTAACGGTACAATTTTTTTATTTGTTAAAATAGTATTAATAGATAATAATAATAATAATAATAATAATAATAATAAGTAAATAATTGAACATCATTCATTACATTCTTTTTTAATGAAATATTTAGCAATTAAAACTTTTTACACGTAATTTAACACGTAACATACAATATGAAAATTATGCATTGTCTAATTAAATATACACTCATTTGCATATATTTTCCTGAACAGTAATCTGAAAAGATTGGAGGTTCAAAATCCTTTTTTTATTATTATTTTGTTGACATATTAGAGTTAAAGAGTGTCCTTTAAGGGATTTTGAATATCTCAATGAATCAGAAAATGCTCCCAACAGTTTGAAAGTGCTACTGAAGAGAAGAAAAATCTGAAACTACCAAACTACAGATGAAGAGCTATAAAACAAATACTTAAATTTGTATTTTGGATGTAATTGTCCCATTATTCTGAAGGAGGACAAGTTGCAAGCAAAATATCCAAACATCTAATTGACCAGTGCTTTGCCTTAAAAAATAAATAATAAAAAAATAAATTAGAGGAACATGCAGAGGCATCAAAGAATGAAGTACACAGACTGTGAAATATATTGGGTGTAGCTTACACCACCAAAGGAAAGAAACTGAAAATGATTGTACTCTTGTGTTTTGATAATTACGACCAGACGTCACTGCAATTATGTTTATGCCACTTGACGAATTAAAAACCTGCTTATAAGCGCAATTATTGCCGTGGCTAATTTTTTACAGTCAAATGCACAGAAATCCTTGCGTCATACTGGACAACCAAGCATTAAAGTTTTTTCGGCGGGAGAAATCCATTTATTTCGTATGACGTCAAAACTCGGAAAGTTTCCTATGGGTTTATATAATGAGCTTTTTCAATTTATTTCAAATAAGGTCTGTGGTAAACATAACTTGACGATAGCCTAAATGGACGTTTGCAACGTAAACCACACGCGCACTTCTCGCTCGCCAACTTATTAGAAACATTTTAGAAACAAACAAACACGTTTTAAAAAATGAACATAGCCGCTTGAAAAAATCTACGTTTTTAATATGTGTGCGTGTCACTGTACACTAGACCTCACCTGGGGGTTCTAAGCATGCGTCAAAACCGCCGCCATCTTGGAACAGGGGTCTTGTCATAGAAAGTAGCTTGGTAACGCTGCTATCTCTGCCTTTACTTCGAATTCATTGATGGTGGCGGACTTTTGTGCAGCGTATGAAGTTCACTGATGAAATCTGAACTAGGAAGAATGTTTTAAAAAAAAAAAAATATATATATATTTTTTTCTTTCTGGAATCAATGATAAATACATGTCTGACCGTTGAACAAACCAAAAAAACAAGAAAAATCGCATCCATGATGATTTATGGTGATTTTATTTGCGTTAGACCTGTGTCTACTACATTGACGCTGATGCATTAAAGTGGAGGGGCTCCCCTGTTTCAAGATGGCGGCTCTATTGACGCATTCGTTCTAATGAACTGCCGTATCCAAGGTGAGGTCTAGTGTATATGTCTATGGTCACTGTAGAACAAACCTCGAAGACTTCTCGGAGTAGGCTATCGTCACGTTAGGCTAAACGAGATTTGTCCGAAATTTTAAAAAAGCGTTTGTAACATCAGGCTTGTTTGAGATGCGCCTCGCCTCGCCTGCAATGTAGTCGAGAGTAGGCGGCTGCAGTGAGGGGAGGAGTGAAAAAAGCGCAATAAAGCCGGACAGATCTCGGTTCTCGCAGTGAATCAGACACCTGTGAGATCAAAGGCGGATATCGCGGGATTAACGGGATTCACGCTCGTGCACGTGTTGCTAATAAACTGGATGTGATTTAAAGGTGCAATGTGTAACAAAGTTGAGTATCTATTAACAGAAATGCAATATGACATCCATAACTATGTTTTCAGTGGTGTATAAAGAACTTACTTAATTAGCCGTAATGTTTTTATTACCTTAGAATGAGACATTAATAGCTCCATAACCGAGGGAATCCCCTTCTATGAAGGTCGCCATGTTGTGACGTCATATTCCTACCGTAGCCGAGCGCGAACACACAGTGCTACAGAACGCGTTTCATCACTACCTTGAAAGAGAAGTAGCGGAAAGCTGGAAGCTAGCCATACACTCCGTGAGTAGTGACTTTTCCCTTGTGAGTGGTGTAAAATATGTAGTTGGGATTGTTTCATGTAACTTAGTTCTCCCTCGCTGTGTTATGGGTTTGTTATGTTGGGGATAGATGTGCTGTTACGTTCGTGAGACAGCTGATGATTAGTATTCATGTCATTGACCGTAAAACAGTACGTTACAGGAATCACTAACTCGTCGATAGAGACTTTTACTAAAGTCTTTTATCACTAAAGTCGATCGCGAAGAATTTTAAAAATCAGAGAAAAAAAGCCTTTTGTGTGTAGTAAATAGTATCTATGGGATGCGGAGATGACATGATTGTAACAGCGCGCGCAGTTCCGACCTTTGGACTCATGCAGACGCGTCCCAGCTCAGCCACAGTAACAGCTCATATTAGCCAGCTAAACTATTACTACCCTGTTAGAAAAAATATATAGCTGCTCCCTCGCTGTATTATGGGTTTGCTACAGTATGTGGGGAGAAATGTGCTGCTGGTTACGTTTGTGAGACAATCAGCTGATTATTATTTTATTAAATTATATATTAAAACCCTTGATCCTCACCTGACTATGGCTTTGTAAACAGACAGTATTCATGATGTGGTTTATAATGGACTGTGGTACAGAAACAGTGACAATGTTACACACTCTTGGCTTACTCTGGCTATTCTCTGCTGTCTCAGCCGACGAGATGTTTGTCCCGTTTTAGCAACCGTAGCTTCTTCGAAAGGGAGGGGTGAGCAGTGGGCTGAGCCCTTAGTGCAAACCTGGTGCAAACTCGCAACCGAACCACTAGATGTCGCTAAAAGTCACACATTGCTCCTTTAAGTTCTGTTGCTTTTATATAAAAATAAATATAATGAACAAGACACCCAAAGTACTTGTTAAATATGTGTTTATCAATCTTTTTTTCTTTCTTTAATACAGACGTGTTTATTGTTTTAACAAAAATGAAATATAACCCATATGGCACTGTCAGAGAGTTTATTCACCCATATATGTATACACATAAAACATGATATCAGTTTTAAAATCAAACATTTTAAAAGAGAACAATTCATCTGTTGTTCTTTTATTTTTATTTATTTTACTTTTTTATTAGAATGCAAGTTACAAACATAGCCTACAAGCACCAATTCGTGAAACAAATAGGCCTATTATACATCGACAAATAAATAAACATCAGAATAAAATTAATAATAAAATAAATAAATAAATCAAAATAAGCTTAGCTTAAATAGACAGACTTACAAACTTCATCATCTATAAAATGAGAGCTATTTTTCACTTGAACATTTTAGAGTAGGCCTAGTATATTTGAGTTACTGACTATAGCTTTCTTATTTTTAACCCGTTTAAGAGATTCACAATATATATCAGTTTCAATTAAAGAAAAAAAAAAAAAAAAACATGGCCTTGATTTGGAGAATTTAGCTTAATGAATATGGAATTTACCTTCATCATGTTGTTTAAACCAATGAGCATTAAGCTGTGTCGTCAGCAAGTCGTTTCCCATCATGCTTTTGATCAGCGCAGTCGGTGGAGAGCAACTGCGCGCGACTGCAGAATCCGACCCTTCCGCCTTGCGCTCGCGAGAGTTTTTTGACATACGTCGGCATGACATCAGAGCCAGGCGGACCGTTCTCGGACACATTTCTAACCGGCATGCATCTCGCGCTGATCATCGGTGATCGATTCTGCGCAGAATTTGCTCATCTCAAACAAGCCTATTAATCAGGACAGATGTTAAATTTGTCATCAAAATGACAGCCTATTCAAGTTTTTTCCTAATATTCTATATGCACCCTCGCCTCATTTAGTATGCGCGGCGGATCTATTAATATGCAGATGAGCCCCGCCTCCACTCACTCACTCACTCACTCACTCAGAGATCCACTGGTTGACGATCACACGTTGATCTGATTGTGACGTCAGAAACACCAGCGATTTCGTGTTTTTGAGACTGTCTTTGGTTCACTGCAGTTTTAAGGAGGAAATACTCAGCAATGCTGTCCACTTATCAACGCACACATTGGTTTGTGTCAAGTTTGTTCAGCAGAGGGGGACTTTAACATTTTCTCAGATTCTTAAAGGGTTAGTTCACCCAAAAATGAAAATTAAGTCATTAATTACTCACCCACATGCTGTACCAACCCCGTAAGACCTTCGTTCATCTTCGGAACACAAATGAAGATATTTTTGATTAAATTTGAGAGCTGTATAACTACCACATTGGCTCCTAAAGGACTGCCTCTTGACGGCCCAGAAAGTCAATGAAGAAAATGTTTAAATATCCCAAGTGACTACCGTGGCTCAACAATATGTTTATCAAGCGACGCGAATACTTTTTGTGCGAAAAAACAAACAAAAATAACGAGTTTATTCGACTATTTCTTTTCTTCCTTGTAGGCCAGAACGAGATCCTTAGATTTCCACGACGCATGCGCGAGAATTGCGATCTGAAGTAGTGTAAGCTGGTGTGAGCAGATCGCAATTCTCGCTGAGTCGCGCATGCGTCGTGGAAATCTAAGGATCTCGTTCTGGCCTACAAGGAAGAAAAGAAATAGTCGAATAAACTCGTTATTTTTGTTTGTTTTTTCGCACAAAAAGTATTCGCGTCGCTTGATAAACATATTGTTGAGCCACGGTAGTCACTTGGGATATTTAAACATTTTCTTCATTGACTTTCTGGGCCGTCAAGAGGCAGTCCTTTAGGAGCCAATGTGGTAGTTATACAGCTCTCAAATTTAATCAAAAATATCTTCATTTGTGTTCCGAAGACGAACGAAGGTCTTACGGGGTTGGTACAGCATGGGGGTGAGTAATTAATGACTTAATTTTCATTTTTGGGTGAACTAACCCTTTAAGGGGTGTTTGAGCACAACAAAAAAAAGCTGAGCATCTCGCCATTCATGATCTCCTTAAAATAATTTTTTACCTGGTCTAATTTGTGCGACACTTGTTAATCCCAGCACTCACACATTTCTCTTCCTCTCACTCACATAATTAGCGCTCAGCATTATTATGGGAGGAGATTTCAGTGACGTGACCTTCACCCACACCTTATAAAGTTAGATCTGTAAACGCAAAGACTTCAGGAGGAAAGAACAGCTCTGAGATGGAGGTTCAGGACTGGGTCGATTCGTCTATACGAGCGTTTTTCTGCGTGACTGGAATCACGGGAAACTTCTGGCTGGGTTTGCGTTCCCTTCCCAAATCCAAATCCCAAATGCGTCCCAATGACCTTCTCTTCATTAACCTGGCCGTGTCCAATCTCATCACAAACTGCCTGGTGGACCTGCCCGACACCATGGCACAGTTTGTGAACAACTGGTTCTTGGGGAGAAACTACTGTGGCGTGCTTCAGTTCTCATCCGACCTCTCCGAGACGAGCAGCATCTTCTCCACCATGTTCATCAGCATGTACTGGCACCAGAAGCTCGTGGGATCCGTCAGACGAGGAGGAGCACCGGTTCAGATGGACAATCTGAGGCTCGTCACCGTTTTCATCGCTGGGAGCTGGGGCGTGGCGTTGATGTTCAGCGTTCCCCACTTTTTTATCGCGGAACATGATGGGAATGAGAGTTTAGAAGTTTGCGAGGAACGCTTCCCAACGCTCGCGGATAAACGCACGTATGACGGGTTGTATCTTCTTCTGGCCAACGCCGTTCCTCTTGTTGGGATCACCTACGCCAGTGTGCAGATCGTCTTAGTGTTGATGCAGAGCCAGAAACGAGTAGGAAAAAATCGTGTTCATAATAACTCGGGAACACAGGCAAATGCCACTAAGACTAAAGCGATGAGTGGCAGCCAGGCGCGCGCGGCGAAGAGTGTGGTGGCGGTGGCGTCGATCTTCATCATCTGCTGGTTCACACACCTCGTGCTTCGCATCTACAGCAGCTTCAGAAACTCAATCCTGGCGGTGAAGTTGACCAATTTTATAGGAGCAGCTTACACTTGTTTCGTCCCGTATGTGTATCTGCACGGGGTGAAGAAACTCGACTGCTCCTGCTGCTGATGACGAGCACCAACAACAACAACACAAATGGAGAAGTGTCTGAAACCTTGTGTTTAAATATGCAAACTGTTTTAGGAATAAAAGGAAAACCTCAAAGCTAAAATTAGCCAGACACCATGCATATAGGCCTAATTTTGAATATTTTTTCACTAGGACACTATAGTTCATTTAAACTGTGACTTATTATTCCCAAATATTCTTCATACAGTGACTAACAGTGATAATGAGGGACCAAATATGATTCCTCCACTTTGAGCTGATGATGTTTTGCTGAAGTGTGTTTTCTGCTCTTTTTCCACACACACTGAACAACATGAAGCATTGCTTGGTCACTGGTTGAGCTAAACTGGTATTATCTAATTGTGGAGTTCAATTGAACAGATATTCAACATAATTCATGTGTGAGAGTCCAACAGAACCAGTCGAATATCCACTGAGTTCTGCTCATGTTTATCACCATTATCTAAACTATAGCGGATACACTGATAATGTGAGAAATGGTGAAGGTGTCTGAATGCATTTTGGTTTGACTGTAAAGTTTGGTGTGTGTGTAAAGATGTTGAAGTGGAGGAACAAACTCACAGCCTTTAAAGAGATTTATTGCATATGAAATCTAGACGCAAATGTGTATTTTGGATGTTTTCTGTTCACTATGAATAAACACATCATGAAAAGCCTTTAAAATTGACCAGTGAATTGAAATAAAAGTCTTTGTCTGTAGCTTAATGGTGAAAACATGTAAATAGAGTTTGAATAATTAGTTGTGCATGTAAATACATGTTATTTCTAATTAGTTTTGTATGAAATAGGATGAAGAAGGGATATAAACCCGCTGTATGATTTTTCCACCACCAAAGCACAAAACTGAAATGATTGTCCCTCCTGTGCTTTGCTGCCAGCAATCACTGTAATTATGTTCGCTATGTCACTTAACAAATTATAAATCTGCATATGAATGCAATTCTCGTCATGTTATTTTTTCTGTGACATCAGCATAAAAATCTGTTCAAGAAAACGTTAAGGATAATACAATACAGCGAATTATCGTGAATATACAAATAGTAAAAATTACAAATAAGTTGTTTATATGTATATACATCTATAATTTGCCATTTTCAATTGTGTGTATATTATTTAATTAAATAATTTGTAATATTTTTATTTATTTATAACTATCTCTCTATATACTCTATATATAATGTAAATTATTTATATGCTATGTAAATTAGAAAGAATAGTCAAATCTTTAAATTGCTTTCAGAAAAACAATATCTCAGGAAATTATAAATTTTACACAATTGTGATTTAAAAAAAAAAACTTTTTATTATTTTTCAAAATCATTTGCAATACATATCACACACAACTAAATGGTGTTTGAAAACGATTCAGACTTTCATAAAAATGATTCATTTTCATAAAACAGTCGCTCGCCTGCTGGAACAAAACACCCGAGAGCGTGATGTCTCCATTCAGAGAAGAAACTGAAAACCGGATTGATGGGAAATTTGCCATAGATATGGTGAATATTATAACGGCTTGCTTTATCCAGTTTGCACGTTTTGAGCAGTAGAAAATGTCTAGAGTAAGTGCCTCACGGGAACAAATACTGTACAGATACCAATGATTAACAAGATTTACCCTCATATCTGGAATTGTACGCATCTGAAGTGTTTATTGTGGCCCTCTGTTGGGCATTTCCATGGCTGGTAAATATAAAGAGTGAAGCCCTGGTGCTCGGTCAGGCACCTGTAGAGAACAGAAAGCCCGTCGGATGGTGCGTCCTCAATGGAGCTTCTCCAGTTTGGCCTGAAGGGATTTAAAGTTGCGTATGATGTCCTGCAGGGCAGCGTTCGGACTCAAGGACTGCAGCTCCACCAGATAACCACAGATATTATCCAGACAGGCGTTGGTGAACCTCCGTCTGAGAGAGAGAGAGAGGGAGTGAGAGACAGTGTGATGTGAAATGTAGAGCAGATCTGGAGATGATGATGTTCACCTGTCGTAGGTGGGCACACGGCTCGGGTCATCCACATATCCCGACAGGAGCACATGGATGCACTGCACCAGATGAAGAGGTTTCTTCAGGCGCTGCCAACACGGGTCCTGCAGACAGACACAATCATTTATTGCTTATAATATATATATATATAGAATATGGTGCAAAAGTTCATTTATTTCAGTAATTCAAATTAAAAGGTGAAACTAATATATATTATATAGACTCATTACATGCAAAGTGAGATATTTCAAGCCTTTATTTGTTATAATTTTGATGATTATGGATTAGATATGAAAAGCTTTACACAATATTCAAATTTTGAATTTGGGGTTTTCATAAGCTGTAATCATCACAATTATAACAAATAAAGGCTTGAAATATCTCACGTTGCATGTAATGAGTCTATATAATATATTAGTTTCACCTTGAAGTTGAATAACTAAAATAAATGAACTTTTGCACCATATTCTAATTTTTCGAGTTTCACCTGTAAATATAAATAAATATAAAAATATTACTAAGCAATCCTTAAAATATTATGGATTAATTACTAAATAATAATACATACTTTTTAAAGTAAATAAATAAATAACTACTGTTAAGCAATCCTTAATAGGATTATAGATTAATAAAAAATACTGAAATAAAATAAATAAAATAGTAAATAAATATAGGTTAAGTATTGTGGAGTAAAATAGTTAAGAAATTTATGAAAAAAAAAAAAATAGTTAAATAAATTTAGAACTACCATTAAGCAATCCTTAAGAGGATTACACATTTATAAATCAATAATTATAAAAAATAAAAAATAAAATAAAAAAAGTAGTAGTGTACCCGTGTCTTGAAGAGCTGGTCGTAGACCTCCAGCAGGCGCGGGAGCTGAACTCCGATCTCCTGCATGGTGAAGGTGACGAAGCCCACGTCCCAGTTACACCGGCACACCTCCTGCTCCAGGAACTTCACCAGGAAATCTGAAGAGCACATCCAAACACACAAGATTACATTACAAATATATGAAAGATCACTTCAGCTTCACAAACACACAGGTGATTAGAGCTGGGTATCCTTACCCACACTGACACCAGGGGCCGCTTATTTGATATGATAATACGTGTCATCCAATTATAATGGAAATAATTATTATTGCCACTTCCATAGACATTAGTGTGTATTTGACAAACTCTAAACGTATTGCTTTTTTAGTAACTTAATGTGAATTTAAATGTCTGAAGCCAAAAATAAATCAACATTATTGAAAACACTGAATAGTTGTGATGTCTCCGTCTCTGGCTCTGTAGCCTACTACAAAACAGGCTACAAAACAATGTTTTCTTCGGGGGAGCATGCCCCTCGACCGAGGTCCACACACACACACAATACTGTGGGAAACACAGTAGCTTATAAAACACAATTATTATTATAAAAACATCTAAAATATCTACATTATTAGGATTTTACCACCTCCGCTTAGTTTTGAGGTTGTTATTATTCTTTTTCAATTGTGTTTGTTCTTTTTGCAGTTTGCGAAGTGACAAAATAGTAAAGCAAAGCACAACTAGCCCACACTTATTTTCTCCGTTTCTGAATTTGATGTTATCAGAGGCAAAATACAAACACAATTGCATTATTATTTTTATATACGGTCATGTTTATGTTTTTAAAATGTCATGTTAATAAAATACATTTTACCTTAAAGCCTAGTTTATTGACATTTTGTTGCCTTCAAAGTGGAGAATGGCAGAAACAGTTTGAGAAACACTGGCCTAAGGTGTCTAATTGTTTTGGTCTAAATTAAGTCAGTCTTTATTTTTGTGAAACAGTGTAACTTGCATTAGACTAGTCTATGGGCAAACGTTAGACTTGTCTATCAATATAGACCGGTCTAAACTAGCTTTGTGGAACCGGCCCCAGATGACTTCAATACCGGATCCTGAAAGATACTTTTTTCCAAACCAATTTTATGAACAGAGAATGTTATATCAGAGGCTGCAACATTAATGTTATTAAACATTAATTAAACTGTTAATGCAGCCAACCTTAAGCATGAGCACACTTTACAAAATACCTAGTTTAATACCTAGAGTTAATTCTGTTTTAATTTTTCAGGATTCAATATTTTTCCAGGTGGTTACATATAATTGTATTACTCAAAAAGTAGTGAAATCATGAAACTTGTTCAATTTAACAGCAATTTATCAACAGTTATAAACAAAAATTCCATTCTTAATGTTTTTTCTCTCTCTTCAAATTCCATTTTATTTTTACTTTCCTTTTTATTTAGTCTATATTCCATACAAACGGTTTAATCCAAAATATATCTAATTAATTGAATTAATAAAAACAGCAGATCATTAATTTGTATACAATAATCGTAATAATAATAATAATAATACAAAATGAAATGTTTTTTCTCTCTCTCTCCGCATTGTGTATTTGAATTTTTCTGGTAATCAAATGAAGGCATAAACAGTAATTTCAATGAAGTGATGATACACAACAATTTTACATGAAATTTTTTTTTTTTAAATAATACTATTATTATTAGTAGTAGTTCTAGTATTACATTAAGATATCTATCTATCTATAAATTACAGAAACGTCTGTGTGTGTTATTCACATATCTCTCGAACCGTTAGTCCGATGGATTTCAAACTTGACGCGTCTCTGCTACGGGCGCGAGTAAGTGCAGAGCCGAGTTTGATGTTGTTTGGATTAGAAATGCAAAACATATTAAATATATCGGTAAAAGAAGCATGGACACTGTCAGATAAACATTAAGTCATGCGCAAATAAAAAAAGTCACTGAACTTTTGCTGTTTAATTGTAACAATGAACCCACAATTACTAAAAACACACCAAAACTGATTTTGCCCGGGCACTGCACTAGTACATTGTAAATGTACAAAAGTGATATTGTACTGTTTTTCTTTAAAGTTAAACCAAACTTTTATTTTGACGGGTTGCCGTGTAGAGCTTCTTCTGTGATGATATATAGTTTCTCTCAGATTAAATGAGAATCAGTCAGTGGCTAAAAAGTATGAAGGCAAACGGTACCTAGCGGAAAGTACCGCGGCGTTCCAGCGTACAACTTTCCCAGAGACACGAGCTTCAGGCTCAGCGCTCTCATGCGGTCCGCCGGGCTCATGGCCACACTGTCACTCAGCTCTGAAACACAAAACAAGCCGTCACACACACACACACACACACACGACCCAACTGGAGAGGTCTTACCAAAGCCACTAGATGACCCGCATGCAACCCGATATATAAGACAGTCTCCGGTTTTACCCTTCTCGATGATCTCCTGCCACAGCGAGTGCACCAGGATCGGATCC